CCAAGGGCCCGACCTTCACCTCTGTCCTTCTCTTCAGATCCTCAAATTCTCGAGCCTTATCTGCTGCGACCTGTCGTTCCTTGATCTTCTTAGCAAATCGCTTCTTGCCACCGTGCCTTAGCTTCGTGATGATATCCGCCGCCTGTCCTCGGGTGATATCCTTGGCCGTAATTGTACCATCACGGATCTTGGCCTTGTTAAGCCTCTCAAGCTGAGGCGGCGTGGCCGGTTGCCGACGCCATGGCTGATGGGCAGAGATGTATCGCTCCTCGAACTCAGCACCAGCGAATGTGTCCGCAGCGCGAACGGCCGCTTCAAAGTCCGCTACGGAGGCGATAAGACGAGGTCGGGCATATTTTCTAACCTCTTGGGATAATCCGTATTGCAGGACATGGTGCACTGTCCATTCTTCAGGCTGCCGCTCCGACTCTTTCTCAATGGTGAGCCATCCCGCTGTGCCGGAGAGAACGTATCGATGCTCGGCGACCCGGACCCAGGCGTAGCGGCTCAGAGAGCGAATATGTCTATCGGATTTCATGTCATTGATGAGGTCATAGATCGTGTCATACTTGGTGAAGGTGAGCTTGATGTTGCCCGATTGAGCAGGGTCCTCGGCATAAGAATCCGGGAGCTTTGAGTCTGGCTGCTCTCGGTAATTGTTGTTCTCGTCGTCTTTTTTCTCTTTGATATCCTTCACTTTTGTCTTCTCCAGTATTTCATCCGGGTGTAGTCCGAAAAGAGTCGGTGTGGAAATGACGCCAGTTTCGAGTGTGGCCACCATATCGATTATATGGCAGTCTTTCTTGCCAGGAAACAACCGCAGCCCTCTTCCAATCATCTGAATTAAGAGATTGCGAGAACGGGTCGGTCTTGCAAGTAGTACACAATCAATATTAGGTATGTCAGTGCCCTCGGTGAAGAGTCCACAGTTCAGAAGCACCGGATACTCCAGGTTCCTGAAGCTGCGCAGCTGCTCATCGCGGACATCCTTGGGGGTTTGCGACGTGATATATCTGGCATCGATACCCAGACTCCGGAATTTCGCCGTGAGCTCTTTAGTGTGCGCCAGATCCACGCAGAATACCAAGGTAGACTTGCGGCCTTCCGCATTGGCTAGCCATGCTCGCACCGTGATGTCGTTGGTTTTATCCGTGTTGACTGCTTCGGAGAGGGAGCCGACGGCGAAATCGCCGAATTTGTCTTTCTTGACCCTCGCTAGGTCAACTTGGGAGCGAACGGTCGTGAACACGGCATTCGAAAGCCAATTCTCGTCAATCATATCCATATAATCCTTATGATACACGATGTGATCAATGGCGGCGCCGAGCTTGAGGCCATCGAAGCGTGAGAACGTGGCCGACACCCCAACAAGAACGGGAGAGTTGGACGAAGCTTCGTTGAGGTCGAAATGAGCCAATGCGGTGCGATAGGTGGGCGCGACGATATGATGCGCCTCGTCGACCAGGATCAGCTTGAAATGTGCGGGGTTGAATTTCTCGATCCGGTCCTTCGACGTAAGACTCCGCACCGACGCGATGATTATGTCCCCATGTCCGGTTGCCACGGTATTGCCCATCTCAATCTCGACGGTTCGGTCGGGATAGGCAAGTCGACAATGCCGGGCAGCTTGTTCGACGAGCTCCCTTCGATGGACGAGGATCAGCGCTTTGTCGTGCTTTCCATTGCGCGGCGGAACGCGTCCGATGAGCTGGGTGAAGATGACCTGATGGCTCGCCAGTCAGTCTAAGGCTCTCGCTCTATTCTCAACGTTCTTGTCAAACGAACCGTTTTGCCCGCGCCAGTTGCAAGTGAAATCCCCAAACGCTTGTGGCCCTGCTTCAGGTGATCCAAGACCGACTGGATGCATTCCTCCTGGTAGTCCCGAAGGACAATCCCAGGCGGTTCAGGAGCTGCTGCTGCAGGTGCTTCATCGGCGTATGCTACAGCAGACCCGTGGCGCACGAATGCAATACGCACATTAGGCGTCCAGGGAGCCCTCAGTGCCCTCAACCCAACTGAAATTGGAATCGATCCCAATTTCCGGCGAATACGGTCCATTCAGATGCCATGGAGTGAAAAGCGATAAACCTTCCGCGTGTGAACCGAGAGAGGCCTACGGAAAGAATTCCGGGGAACAAAAAGCTAAGTATCTATCGGGCGAAAGCAAACAGTGCAAACGGGCTCTTATCAGAAATCTTCCCCGATAAAAAAAAGTCACCTTGTCTGTCAGTCCTCCGCTCACCTAAACTTTACTTGCTCCTCACCTTGGTTGCGCCGATGGTCATTTTACTGGTTTTGATGTAACTCTGGGGCGATGGTTTGGAATCCGTTTCACCTACGCATCCGGTGTGAGCTAGTCGATCATGAGCAATTCGGTAGACGATGATCCATCGGACTCTGTTTGCAACCCCGACGAGAATACCCGATCAGCATCATCATTGGATAAGACGCATGATGAGAGAACAGACGCGGAGCCCCGCGGGTTGGCACGCAAAAATACCACACGAGCTTCAGCTCTCGATAACCTGCAGTCTACGCTACCACGAAAAGCGGTGGATCTCTATGTCGATGTGTTAAAACAACTTGCCGATGATGACACGCCCGATCTTGCGGACCCCGACGCCGAGAGGTATAACTCTACACAGAATGGAGTCGTGGTTTGGAATCCACAGGAGAAGGGAGTTTTATATCGCAGCTTGGACCGGAAGGGGAGGGAAGGGATCCGCGAGATTGCCCGCAGGCTCGGCTCGAAGTCGGAAATCGAAGTGCAGGAACATCTCAGACTCTTACAGAACGGTCTGCAAAAGCGCCATATGACGCAATCGCATAGCCGAACAATTATTCTGGCCGATGTTCCCGCTGCCGCCGAGATTGGCAATGAATGTCACAGAACCTTGGATCACTATGCCGAATTACTGCGCTTGAAAGAGCAACAGGATGAGGATGTTACTGGAAGGCACAAGCACCGCGATTTCTGGGTCATCGATTATGAGAAAGCTTTGGATTTGGATCATCGAGCCAAAACAGAAAAAGCCGACCGTCGAGCGAGAGCAGACGATCCAGATCATCGACTCGCGGAAGATGAAAATCCAGCTAATCAAGAAGCCGAAAATACAAACGGCCACGGAGCACAAGACCTGGAAACAGGAACTCGGGATGAACAGCTCCATACTCCGGATAGGGATGTCTACGACCGATCCAGTGTGCATCTCACGGCTAGCTTGTTCAAGATGAGCAACTGGGTTAATCTCTCGGAGCGATTTTTCATGAACACCGGGGGCACACGGTCGGATGAGAATTGGCGTGGTTTGTCCTTCGCAGACGAAACCCCGTCCCTGACGGCGGATGCGTTCGCCGACTTCTATTCATTGGCTGTGAGTCTAACGCGCCGGTTGGTACAGTCGTCCCTCTTCTTTGCGGATGCAAGGTTGCGAAAAGTGGAAGAGGACGGTCGGGCTAGGGCTCGCGATGTCAGGGCTCGCGATGTTAGAACAGCATTGGACGTCTTGAACATGAAGCGAGAAAACTCTGATTTTTGGGTTGGTCTCGCCCGGAGACTCTCCCTTGATGTTGTGGATAACCGACACGTGAAGGACTGGAAGTCGATACAAATGGACTATGACGAGGTGGAGGACATTCTATCTCGAAAGCAACCATTGCCCTCCCAGTCGGGCTCGATCTCGAGGAGCGTTTCTAGGGGTAGAGATGGGAGCCAGGTGGTTGACGATCAGGGCTCAGACGCCGGTAACGAATCCGAGCCTCCTATCTCTGGTCAGGCAGTTTCACCAGAGCCCATTGAGGAGGTTCCGTTTGACTCGGAGGACGAATACGCAGAACAGGTGGACAGGGAAGCAAGCCGCGCTGAAGAGTCTAACCTGTGGGAGCTAGTTGGTCGGTCGCCTCCGCCTACTCCATCATATGGTCATGCCGGGACCGAAGGGCAAAATGAAAGAGATCCGCGTCAGATGAAGCCAGATCCGCGCAAAAGACCGATTAGTGTGCGGAAGTCGATGGATGATCTATTCGATTGGCGGGATCGATTACTCTACCGAAGCGAGTGGGAGGAATATGGCCACGATGCTTTTGACTTGCAAGACGAGATTCTTGAGAACAGGAATAAAAGACGACGTCTCGAGCAAGGACATATGCAATCTTTTCTTTCGGGTTCCGCTGGGGTGGACGCAAGTGGAGGCAACACTGATGTCCAGTATGATATTTCGCCTCCAGGCTCGAGTCCTGGAAAGGTTCATGAGGCTGATAGTATGGTGCTAGATGATGAAACAATGCACGAGGAGCAAGGCGTAGGTTCTGTCCTTGGCTCCTAGTATGTAGTGTGGTTTGGGTGGGTGATTTCTGTGTGCATTATACCATTTTGCGAAACCCAGCATGGAATATATTTTCGGATTCTTCAGTAACAGGAATGTCATGCTCCTTCCATGGAGTGCCACAAATAAGGTTCGCAGAATGAATGACATGATAAACAAAAGTGCAGGGATGAACTAGGTGTCCTCTAAACAGAAAAAAAGATCAAGCCAACACAAGCTTTCAGTGTTGAGTCTCTTTTCCGATTGACAAAATTTGAGGTAGCAGGCCAAAAAGAAGAAGACAAGGGCCGAACGCGATTTGAACGCGTGACCGTGAGATCTGCAGTCCCACACTCTACCCCTGAGTTACCGACCCTTGAATTGTGGTTGGCGGCTCAATTTTTGACATTATAAATCAAAATATAGCTTTGGCAATAGCATCCAATACTGATGAATGAATCCCTGGGCAGATACACCAGGGCGTGCGACGCTAGCAAAACGCGAGTAGTGGATTTATTATAGAGTGACAAGGGTAGGTCAAAAACAAGTCTCTTTAATTTAGGCACTAAGCCAGCATCGATCGACCATCCGGGGACTTCTTCCTTACTGCAAGCCAATTACTCAAAAATTTCACGTATGGCAAAAAGCTCTAGCCACACTGAGAGGACAAATAGGATGTATAAAAAGAAAGCTTTGAGGGCCGAGCGTGGATCGAACACGCGACCTCGAGATCTGCAATCTCTTGCTCATACCACTGAGCTACCGACCCTTTTGAAGCTTATTTGGCAATAGGGTGTAAAAGCCTATATGCAAACCTCGCAGCTCATGGCACGCGAGATCCAACTCATTCAAACACTCTTTATCTTTGTCCTGTAAGCAGGAAGAGAAGTTAGTATACAATGCTATAGCGTAAGCACCTACTCGTATACCATGCTATCGTAACGCCCTTTACTGCTATTGCTTAGCCATAATGCATGCCTCTGTAAGCAAAGAGGATGTCTGTGCTCACAGCTTATTGTTATCTGCCAGGCAGCGCAGGACTGCATTGTAAGCAGGACCGGTTTAGCAACCTAGTTAACTTAGTTAGTTGTCGTGGTAGCTGACCAAGACACTGCCTTGAACAAGTGGCTCTGTGATCATCGAAGCTGACCGCTTCCAAGCTATGTGTGGGGATCATTCATGAACACTCATCCCCACAGATGTTGATTTCTAATGCAGCTCTCCTTAGAATGTCGAGTGCGCCCGGATTGGGTATTGTCAACCTCGAGCTCCCCACCTGATCGGACTCATATAACCCCGACACACCGTTCCCTGACAAATGAAGTAGAACCAAATTGACCGAAGGGACATACTCCTTACTTCAATTATGCACAGGTTTCCTCCTGGAGGAGAACGCTCATCACCTACCATGGAAATGTAAAGTATACGCACGTCCATTGCTGTGCATTTGTCAGCGGTTGAACATTCGGCAATGAAACCTGTCTCATGAGCCGGCGACTTACTCAACATCCACATTTGCGGTGACCAGAGAGCTATGCATTATGTCACTCTAGAAAGTGACAGATTATGAGGGATATCCAAAAGGATATGTTGTCCTGAAGCTTCAACGCTTCAGATATCTATATAAGGCACGCAGGGTGTTGACCAAGATGGACTCCTATCATCACAAACAGCTTCAATCCTCCAGATAACATTCTCTCAACTACTTTAATCGAATATCTTTTACCACACATTCTTCCGCTACCCAAAGATGTCTCTCAAGCCGATCATCCTCCACGGCCACCAAGGCGGCCCCAACCCCTGGAAGGTGGCTATGATCCTGGAAGAGCTCGAGATCCCCTTCGAGCACAAATATGTACCGTTCGATACCATCAAGAAGGAGCCCTTCATCTCCATCAACCCCAATGGCCGTGTCCCCGCCATTGAAGACCCCAACACCGGAATCACCCTGTGGGAGTCTGGTGCCATCATCGAATACCTCATCGAGACCTACGACAAAGACAACAAGATCAGCCCCAAGGCCGGCACCCCGGGCTACTTCCATGCCAAGCAATGGCTCCATTTCCAGATGTCCGGACAAGGGCCGTACTTCGGTCAATTCATCTGGTTCACTCGTTACCATCCTGAGAAGATCACCAGTGCTCAAGAGCGCTACCTGAACGAGATCCGCCGCGTGACGGGCGTGCTGGACAAGGTCCTCGAAGACCGGGAGTACCTGGTCGATGGAAAGTACAGCTACGCAGACGCTGCGTTTGTGCAGTGGTACCAGATTATTCCCATGGCTACTGGCGATGCCATTGATTTGGAGAAGGACTTTCCCAACGTCAACGCTTGGCTGCAGAGACTGCAGGCGAGACCTGCGATCGCGAAGTGCCTGAAGACGTACAGGGAGAGTCTCGCTGCTAAATAGGAGTGAGAAGGGACTGGGCTATAGACCTGGAGCTTGGTTTGGGATTTTAAGCGTGCGCGCGCTGATTTGTATGCTGTTTATGCGAGTATCAATACACTGAATCACAGTTGCCATTGTATCCAGAGGTTCGCTGTAGGAATGGCCTTGGTGCCGTGTTGATATATGGTGTACTCATTTCGTAAAAGTGTTGTCAAGCCAGCAACCAATACTGGCGACTTGATGTCAAGCAATGCAAGCCTAGCTACGGACCGGCATCTAATAGAATGCAAAATGACCATCAAGTTATTTTGGAATCAATGACTGCAAGTTACTCATAAACCTCGTATAGATGAGGAGGACGATGGAGGCAACCGAGCTAGTGCGTACTGGGACTAGCGCACCAGAGGGTCTTGGCGCGAGTTTTTGGAGCGAGGCCCGTGTCGCGACAAGTCGCTCTGCTCCCAAGCAACCACCTTTCTTCCCCACGACTTGTTGCTATCTTGGTGGTCATTACCACCCGCTGGTTTCTTCCCACTCCCTCGATATCTCTAGGATCCCAAGCACCACCGCACTAGGGATCGTACCGGCACTTCGATTACCCAATCCCTTGAAGCTTGAGGAGCGCGAAGGTCCCTTGTTCTCCGTTGCTTGCGACATCAACCGTCATCTCCCGCCATCAGATCAACAATATGGAAGACAGCCCTGTCATTTCCAGCGGTCCTGCCGATGATATTCAGGCGGGCACCGCCGCTCAGGATGCTCCGGGTGACGTGATCAGTGCTTCCGGTGAGTGTTGCCTCCCTGCTCCCGCAGCGAATCGGGACATGTCGACCATTGCAACCGTGGGATGCGAGATCGCAGTCGCAAGAAAGTTCTACTGAGAACGAAAATCATCCACAGCTCCAGGGACTGATAACCCGCTAGATGCCCCTGCTTCCCCGAAACCCCAGCCTGCCGATGGCGAACCCGAAGATGAGGAGATGGGCGGTACAGAGACCGAAACCAAGAAGGAAAGCGAGGGTGATGAGATTGCCGAAGTCGCTGCGCAATCAGGAGCAGAGGGCACCGCGGAAGAGCAGCCTGCACAGTCCAAGGCTTCGGCCGAGAACTCTGCGCGCTCACATCTCGTTTCACAAACCCATGCCATCATTCTTCCTAGCTATACATCCTGGTTCGACATGCACCTGATCCACCCTATCGAGAAGAAAGCTCTCGCCGAATTCTTCAACGGTCGAAACCGCAGCAAGACCCCCGCGGTCTACAAGGACTACCGTGATTTCATGATCAACACATACAGACTCAACCCCATCGAATACCTCACAGTCACTGCATGCCGCCGGAATCTTGCCGGAGATGTATGCGCAATCATGCGGGTTCACTCCTTCCTCGAACAATGGGGTTTGATCAACTATCAAGTGAGTATTTGCTGCAGATTTCTCACAATTTGACGCTGACATTATGTCCAGGTTGATCCTCAGACACGCCCATCGAATATCGGTCCTCCTTTCACGGGTCACTTCCGAGTAGTTGCCGACACGCCGAGGGGTCTGCAGCCTTTCCAGCCCGGTCCCAATCACTTTGTCAAGCCCGGCAAGCCTCTCCCCGCCACCGATCGCGCAGCATCGGCTGCCCCTGCATCCAAGGCCGATCTCAACCTCGAAATCCGCCGTAACGTCTATGACGATAAGGGCAAGGAGATTACCCCTGCCAGCGAAGACAAGGAGAAGCAGACCAACGGTGAGGGCTCGGCAGCCAACGGCACCCCTGCTGATGCCACCAAGGCATTGGAGAGTGCCAGCAAGGAGCCAAGGAAGAAGTTCCATTGCTTCTCATGCGGTATCGACTGCACTCGCCTCAGATTCCACTACGCCAAATCGACGCCGGCGACCGCCAACCCCGCATCTGATAGCAAGTATGACCTCTGCCCCAACTGTTTCCTACAGGGCAGGATGCCTTCTAGTCACAATGCCTCCGATTTCGTCAAACTCGAAGAAAGCCCTTACACAATCGCCCCCGATAAAGATGCCCCGTGGTCTGACTCGGAGCTCATCCTGCTTCTTGAGGGTCTGGAGAACTTTGACGATAACTGGGAACAAATTGCCAACCATGTCGGCTCGAGGACTAAGGAGGAGTGCGTGATGAAATTCCTGCAGCTCGAGATTGAGGACAAGTACCTTGACGACACCCCCGAGGTCCGGGCGGCGGCTGGACGCGATCCGATCAGCCAGTCCGAGAATCCGGTCCTTTCTGTGGTCGCGTTCTTGGCCCAGATGGCCGAGCCTTCTGTGGCCGCTGCCGCGGCTGGTCGCTCGGTAGAGGAAATCCGCAAGGAGCTCAGAAAGCAGCTTGAGAAGGGTTCTGGAGCCGAGAAGACCCAGGAGAAGGGCAAGGAGAAGGAAAGTGCAGTGAAGGCAGAAGACTCCATGGAGGTGGATGCTACTCGCGAGGAACCCGCCGCTGAGACGGCCCAGAGCACCGTTGCCAACAAGGAAGGCAAAACTACCCTCCCTACTGTTGCCCTGGCTGCCTCTGCTGCCCGCGCTGGGGCCTTGGCGTCTCATGAAGAACGGGAAATGACCCGCCTGGTCTCGGCTGCGGTGAACGTGACGCTACAAAAGTTCGAGATCAAGTTGGCACAGTTCAACGAAATGGAGGAGATCATTGAGGCTGAACGCCGCGAACTCGAGCTCGCTCGCCAGCAGCTCTTCTTGGACCGAATGGCCTTCAAGAAGAGAGTCAAGGAGGTTCAAGACACTCTTCAATCGGTCAGTCTGAAGGGCCCCGGAGAGGAGACCAACGCCTTGCTCGCCGATGCCGCCACGGCGGGTATCGGAAACCGGTACAACTTCCAGCCTACGGGTGCTGATGCTAGCCGGGGGGTGCAACCCTTGAGCGCAGAGGCCGGGGCTGACTACAAGGCCTTGGACTTGTAATGAGATCTTTTCATTTCGTCATAAACGCCATGCATTGTTGGACACGTCTTTTGAGTGGCGAAGAATATCTAATGATATCTGTTCTTTTTACTGCTGTCATGACCTGGGCAGGAACGCTGAAAGGTGGTGTCATCTTTCTTTTCTTTTTTCAATAATATCCCATTGTATTTTGTACAATATCACAGGGGAGGGGCGAGCAGAAGGCAAAGAGCCTGCCAGGGAGTTTGTTGGAGATACTGAGGCTTGGGTAGAAGCGACGCGTGGCTTTGGTGATCAATGATGTGGATTCACTATGGTTTGATTCTTCAATGTTTCTTTTTTACTAGGTAGGAAAAGGCGCACATGATTCCTGTTTTCTTTTCTTGCTATTGGGAGTTCCGAGCTATCTGTGCCTGCGAGTCAATGAATACACTTTTACCCTGATACGCTGGATGACCATGATAAGCCTTTCCAGGTCCTATACTTTCCCAGGAAAACGCGGTGTTCCGGAACTACGTGGGTGTTCCGGAAGTAGGTGACCCATTCATTAGTACACACACGGTGGCCCGGTTCTAGGTGGCCTATTGAGACGCGAACAGGTCACCACCAAACGGCGTTTTCGAAAAAAGAAAAGTAAACAAAACAAAAAAAAGATCGTCGTACACGACGGTATTTATCACTTTCATTCTTATTTCTTCTTTTAAATCTCTTATTCCTTTCTTGCTATCCAATATCTCCCCCTACCCCTTCTAACTAAACACCAAGTTAACCCTGAACGGAGTACCTTTTTATATCGACCCACCCACCAACCATGCCTCCCCACGACCCTCTCGCCGACCACCTCGCCGCCATCCCCGAAGCGTACAGAGACGTCTTCACCCGCCTCGTCTCCTCCGCCCTAAACCCGGAGCTGAACGTCAACCGCCGCCGCAAAGCCCCTGTCACAGGCACGAGCGCGAGCACGAAGATATGCTCCTCGACCGACGCGCAATTTGACGTTATCGACGTCGACGCCGAGGATGACCACCACGACAACGATAAGGAAAACAGGTCGTCGCGCGGGGGTCGGTCTTCTGTTAACAAGAACTGCGATGAGGTCCGCCAGGACATTCGGGACTTTCTGGACGCGCGGCAGATGCAGCCGGGGCAGTTTCAACGGCTGATCGGCGTGTCGGCGAAGTCGTATCGGGATTTTGTGGGTCAGAGTGGTCCCGAGAAAGGGGTGAGGTCGGTCACGTTTGTTAAGGCGGGGGAGTTCTTTCGGGGGTTCGAGGAGGGGGGAAGGGTGGGTAGGGGTGTCATGCTGCATGGGCAGGAGCAGCAGCAGCAGCGGGTTTTGGGGATGTTTCGGGGAATTCTACTGTGGCGCCGGCTACGAAGAAGAGGGCGAAGACGGCTACGGCGGCTACGGCGGGGAAGGGTAGAGGTAGTCGTGCAGCGGATGGAAACTCGGAGTATGATGTTTCTGGTATTGGATTGGAGCATGAGGAGGACGAGGAGCTTGAGGTGCCCGTGTTTGAGACTTGTGATCGAGTCAGGGACATGATCCGGAAGCATGTTGCCAAGCCCGGTGTCACAAAGGCCGGGTTCCTGAGGGATGCGGCCAAGGCGACATTCCCTGGGGGCGAGAAGACGATCAACCCCGGTTTGCTGCAGGTGTTCCTCAAGCAAGAGGGCGCCCTCGTGGAAAACACGGCCATAGTCTTCTATGCGGCGTATGTCTTCTTCGAGAAGTTGAGGATCAAGAATGGGGAGCCGAAGGATGATCTTCGCCTGACCATGGAGGAGATCTGGCCCTTTGGGATCGAGCGAGAGAAGCCGGTCAACGGACCCTGGATCGTTGCGACCGGAAGTCAGCCATACATCAACGAGTTTGGGCAACTTCGGGTCCTGCGAAATTGTTATCCATAGGAGAGATTAGCAGGTGCGCTTGCTGTGAAGCATCCACAAGACCCATTTGTCGGGGTATGATGCAATTTTGAAGGTGTGATTCAATTCCCTTGAGTAGTGTCTTAAGTGGTGTGTATGTTAGTGTATCTTGACGTCGGGTGCGTCTTGAGGTTGATCGTTGCCTTGCTGCTCGGGCTTCAATTGACCTGCGAGCAATTTCCCCTGAGAATCGACGCCCTCGAAGATCTCAGCTGTAATGTCTTTCCTCGCTGGAAGAGTGGGTCTGGTCATAGATTCTCGTTTCCAAGTAAACCTGTGCTTTACTTTCCCAGTCCCGGCTTCTTCGATTATGAGAACGCGGGGTATTAGACTTGAGATGCGCATCCAGATTCTGAGCATGAACCGACGTGTGAACACATGAGGTCGCCCGGCCGCATAGGGCTTGAACGTCTGACCCTTCTTTGGGCCATTCACCAAGAATGCAACATCGAGCTCTGGCTCAGATGGAGGAGCAGGGGTAGTTCCAGTGGCTTTCCTTCTTTTAGGTGGCGCCCATGGCAATTGGCCTGATATTAGACCTTCAAGAATCTTTAGATCGCGGCGTGGGACTGGTGGAAGGAGGTTGGCCAAGACTTTGCTGTACCATTTCTTTCTGATATTCCTTCGCCGGCAATGTGGAACCGGCCTAGCCCATGAATTCTTTTCGGGGATGACCGGCTCAAAATCCTTGATTCTTGGGGCTGCATCGAGATATTGAAGCAAAGGTTGCTGGAGCTGAGCCTTCAACAGATCTTGAACGACCCTAGGCGGTTTCCAGTCCTCTGTCATGCTATTCTTGGCCAGAAGATCTTCTAAACACTTCGGCTTCGGCTCCGAAGGCGGAGTCGTTCGAGTAATGAGGCTTAGAATGAGTTCCCTCCTCCGCCTCCCGGTGCGACCATATGCCATGCGTAGGACTTTCTCTAGTGGTTTCATATAACCTTGATTGGCTCTTTGTAATACCGACAGACCCTTGATAGCTGTCTTCCGTAGTCGCCAGCGTTGCCATAGATCATTCCGTTCTTCGAAGCTGGGGTTGTTCGCATAGTGTCGGAACCGACCGAGGACATAGCGATGCATATAGCCTTTGGCGACGGGGTCGGGGAGATAGGATGCCTCGCGAAGGAGTGATCGAAGGAGATGCCGCCATGTCGCCGCGGGAACCGTGACTGGCGACACAGGGGTGATTTTCGTTGGCATCGTTAAGAACTGATTATTGACTTGTTTTCTTGCTTTTGCGGAGTTCGTTGCTCTCTAGCCGACATCCTTTTCTTTCCCCGGGGGTTGTTTGATATTGTTTGATTGTTCGAGTTGTACGGCTGAGATCAAGGCGGTCAAAAAGGCGGAAGTCCCAAAGGGGTAATAGTACTCCGTAGATTGTTTTCTCTGAAGGCGAAACGCGAAAACGGTTCAGGTTAGCCGCGCACGCGACGGGCGAACATCGAGAGTTTCCCCGCGAAGCTTTACTTGACTTCTTCCTCCTCATGTGATTGAATTTATTGTTATTATACAAGCCAAATCTCTCTTAATCATCTGGAGTCTCATGTAGATATTATCTGAAGCGGGAAGGGTTTACATGCTTTGATCCCTCCCTGCAGACTGACTACAACCCCCCCCCTCCCCCGGTCCCTTTCATCCCCTTCACGGTCGGAGCGCCAGCCACGCGCCTCCCTTCAATCTTGCGCGACTTCCCGTGGTCTGCCCAGTAATTCCGAGGCCGAGAGGATCTCCCAGCATAGGTGCAGTTCCCCACATGCTTTTACTCTTTTGTTTGACATACTGAATCTGTCATGCCATTGGCCTGGACGGCTACAATTCGACTTCAAACTGACATCTTTTCTCGTTAAGCTGCCTTTAACAGGTCTGGTACCTGGGCTGGACACCCTACACATTCAGTAACCTGGACACAATGGCTTCCAACAACCACCACCCACCGCGTCCGACTCTGCAGATGTCCTACTCGCAGAGCAGCATGGGCTCGGCCAACGGCATGACTTTTTCACAGTCGCACATGGGCTCGTTCAACGCTTCTCAATCTGTAGCCTCCACCCCCCGAGCTACTCCGCCTCCGAAAGCCTCACACCAGTCGGCCATGTCTTATAGCTACGCCAATGGATTGCCCAATGGACCTAGGGGTAGTTTCAGTACCTTTGAAGACATGCATGGTTATGGCACTGTTTATGAAGAATTCAAACCTCAGATTTACAAGGTTAGTCTCTCGGCACATCTACCCAGGTCAACTACTTCCTAAAGCCGCTAATATACGCTTGCCCTTTCCTACAGGCTGTCTACTCTAATGTCGCCGTCTACGAAATGGAGGTGAATGGGGTTGCTGTGATGAAACGCCGCACCGACTCTTGGCTCAACGCCACTCAGATTCTGAAGGTTGCAGGCGTTGTCAAGGCCAGACGGACGAAAACACTGGAGAAAGAAATCGCGGCTGGCGAGCACGAAAAAGTACAGGGTGGCTACGGCAAATACCAGGGGACTTGGGTGAATTACCAGAGAGGTGTGGAGCTGTGCCGCGAATACCATGTTGAGGAAATGTTGAGACCGCTTCTGGAATATGATCAGGGCCCCAATGGAACGACCGGAAATGCACAAGACTCCTTGGACACTCCGACGAAGGAGCAGGCAATGGCTGCCCAAAGGAAACGCCTCTATAATCACATGGACAACCGTGGTATGTCCCAGCCGCAGCAGGGCACCTTCTTCCAGAACATTTCTCGCACTGCTGCTACTGCGGTCAATGCTATGAGCAAAGCCCGATTCGACTCACCGGCCGCACGTGGTGTTGACGGAAGGAAGTCGAATGCTATGCGAAAACCCTCACAGCAGCTAAGCAGTCAAGATACTCAAATCCCATTCAACAGCCAACAGAGCATGTACAGTGTTGCATCCGACAGCGGCTTCGCAAGCAATGTTCAAAGCAATGGTCGGTATCCAGGTACCGTTGGCTCAGGCTTCGAGTTTGAGGAGTCGAACGAACCTCCTCGCAAACGCATGAGATCTGCTTCCAACCATGCGCCACCTTTCGGACTTCCCTATGAACAATCAACCTTGTCGATGAACGAACCAACTCCCACTGAACCCAACGACTCATTCTACCAGGACATGGATGTCTCCAATTCCATGGTCGATGGCACAAAGCGTGGATTTGAGCCTCTGCAACCTGCCACTACTCCCGAGAGATTCCAGAAGATGAAGCTTATCATGACGTTGTTCTTGGACAAGAGGACGAAGGACTTTTCGAAGCATCCTGCCTTGATGCAACTATCCGGAGAAGACCTGGAAATCCCGTTGGACGAATACCGTAACAATGCACTTCATTGGGCAGCAATGCTTGCTCGCATGCCACTTGTGTATGCACTCGTGGAGAAAGGCGTCAACATCTTCCGGCTGAACGGGGCAGGTGAAACGGCCTTGCAAAAATCAGTTGGAACGAGGAACAATCTCGACTATCGGAGTTTTCCACGTCTACTACAGGTGTTGGCCCCCACCATTGACATGGTTGATTATAGTGGGCGAACAGTACTACATCACATTGCCGTGATGGCGGCAACTGGCGGCGGGGGCCATGTGTCGGCGAAACACTATCTAGAGGCTCTTTTGGAATTCATTGTTCGCCACGGTGGTTCTTCATCGAATCAGCTAGGGCATGCTGGTGTCGTGGAGAATGGGCAAACCCTACCGCAAGCCGGGGAGGTCATAACGCTGGGTCGGTTCATATCCGAGATTGTTAACCTTCGAGATGATCAAGGAGACACTGCGCTTAATCTGGCGGGACGCGCACGCTCCGTCCTTGTGCCCCAGCTTCTGGAAGTCGGCGCAGACCCTCATATACCAAACCATACCGGTCTGCGACCGGCCGATTATGGAGTGGGTGTGGATATGGTTGATGGCAATGGCCAATCCCAACAAGCCGGGAATAGGAATGACTCTTTCATGGACCAATTGGCCAAAACCAAGAAAGAGATTCTAGACTGTAAGAGCTCGACCGCATTGTTTATAGGATTACCTGGCTGACAGACTTTTAGCGACATTGGCGCAGATCACTTCATTGGTGCACGAGACGCTAGGCGGCATTGATAGGGATCTGGCTTCCAGCTTGACAAAGAAGCAAGAAAAGTTCGACCACTGGCATGCTAAGATTCGCGAGTCGGCTAAAGCCCGGCAGATTGAACAGAAGCACCTGGACGACCTGAAGAGTAGAGCTCCAGAGCGCATTGAACTTAGCCGTCGATGCAAGAACCTTGAAAAGTCGTCGGAAGACCTCCTTACTAAACTGAAAGAGACAGAAGGAGGATCATTTGATTTGTCCAAGAAGTACTTGGTTGGTGATGCCGACAAAGAGTTCGGACTAGATATTGCTGCGTTCGAAGCGATCTTCCCTGACAACTTTGATGCAAGTACTGGGTTCTCCGAGCAGCAAGCTGCTTTTCTTCGCTCGTTTCCACCTGCAGAAAGCATACAGCAACGAATAGAGGGATACCACAAGTTCAACGATGACATACTGGAAGAGGTGGAGCGCCTTAGATCCAAGAACGTCGTTCTAGGACAAAACTACCGTCGAGTGGTCATGGCTTGCACCGACTGGACTGCCGAGCAAGTAGATGAAGCGGTGGAAGGGCTCACGCAATGCGTCAAGGACCTCAACGACAATCCAGTTCCTGAGGATGAAGCTATTGAGATCCTGATGAAGGACCGAGGTCAAGACTGGTGATCTTGTCCTCTGATGGTCTTCCATTCGAACGTCAAGAGTACACACATCACATTTTTCTTTTTCTTGCCCTCCCTGGACATCCATTAACACTAGCGGCTGTTTTCAGATTTTCTACCCATTCTTGTCTATTTGTTCATGCCTGGTCGGAGTCCGGCCAGTCAAAAGGAAGCATTGTTCATGTGAATGGACTACGGTGTTTGAGCATATTTGATCAGATGTTTTTCAAGTATTGATGTCTGTGCTTGCAGATACCCTTAGGGCACATGTACTGGATTTTAACGGCTAATATGATTGTGACATCTACATCTCCCGTGAACCCTTGCAGGATGGCTTTTTGGCAAGTCAGCAGGCTCAAGCGATGCCAAGCTGAATTTAAGCGGCTGCGTTGACTTCGATAAATATCTGGTGAACTGGCAGTGTTACCAATCGGCAAGAGTATCCAATTGACGGAATCGTCGTAACCTTGGCTTCTCGAGGGTTTCGGTTCGCATAGCCTAAAGTGCTTCATTTACCCGACTTTGAGCCACCAAGCCCCCAGGATCCCCGGACTACGAACAATCCACCCCGCCTTTTTTGGGGTATTTGAAGCAGGAAACTTCGGCCTTCGAGCTTGTCGGTGCTGATACCTCACATCTGCGAACTGTCCTGAGACTTGCACTCTAAGATTGCCACATCCTCGGATAGAGCCATCGTTGTTATCCTCGTTCTGTCTCGTATAAGTCACAGCTAGCAGATCTACAGGATGTCAGCTGGAATCCTCAAGGTCAAAGGCAATCGGGTGGTAGACAACAATGGCGATGAGGTGCTCCTCCGTGGCGCTGCCATAGGTGGATGGGCCAAGTACGTCCAACTCCCGATTCAACAAAGCCACTACTGTCTGACCCCCAGTCTAGCATGGAGAATTTCATCACAGGTTTTCCGGGCCATGAGTCCCAACACCGCGCTGCCATGCGAAAAGTCCTGGGCCCCGAGAAGTACGAGTTCTTCTTCGACCGATGGCTCGAGTATTTCTTCACCGAAGCCGATGCCAAATTCTACGCGGAGCTGGGATTGAACTGTCTGCGCATCCCTTTCAACTTCCGTCACTTGGAGGATGATATGAACCCACGAGTCTTGAAAGAAAGCGGCTTCAAACATTTGGATCGGGTCATTGATCTTGTAAGTTATGGGATCTCGGCCGTTCCCTTGGCCACATGTAGAGAGAGTGTGGGAGGGCTGACTGACGAGTGTGTTTCTGCGCTGGACGACAGTGTGCCAAAGAGAAGATCTACACGATTCTCGACATGCACACTACTCCTGGCGGACAGAACCCCGACTGGCACGCGGATAACCCCACCAGCTACGCCGCCTTCTGGGACTACAAAGACCACCAGGATCGGACGGTGTGGCTATGGGAGCAGATCGCGGCGAGGTATAAGGCCAACCCGTGGGTTGCTGGGTACAACCCCCTCAATGAGCCCTGCGATCCAGAGCATGTTCGCCTCCCGGCGTTCTACGAGAGGATCGAGAAGGCGATTCGGCAGGTCGATCCGGATCACATCCTCTGGCTGGATGGTAATACCTTTTCGATGGAGTGGAAGGGCTTCGACAAGGTTCTTCCGAACTGCGTTTACTCCATCCATGATTACGCGGTGAGTCTTTTGTTGACATTGTACATCGAGGGTTGGGCTTCGCTTTCGTTTATCTGATACTGCTCTCTCTCTCGCTAGTCCATGGGCTTTCCCACGGGGCAACGGTACAAGGGCACACCGGAGCAAAAGCAGCACCTCGAGCGGTCGTACCTCCGCAAAGTCGAGTTCATGAACCAGCATGGCACGGCCATCTGGAACGGGGAGTTCGGCCCCGTCTACGAGAACCCGCGCGTCGAGGTCGAGGCCGACACGATCAACGAGGAGCGCTACAACCTGCTCGGCGAGCAGCTGCGCATCTACGACAAGTACAAGATCCACTGGTCGATCTGGCTGTACAAGGACATCGGCCTGCAGGGCATGATCCACACGAACCCCAGCAGCAAGTGGAACCAACGCATCCAGCCGTTCCTGGACAAGAAGAGCCGGCTCTGGCTCGACGCCTGGGGCCGGTTCCCGCACCCGGAGCCCGCCGCGGCCCTGAAGCCGCTGGTGGACTGGATTGACAAGGTCCAGCCGCGGGCCAAGGACGCCTACCCCACGCCGTGGGGCACGGAACGCCATGTGCTGCGGGCGGTCTTCCAGACGTTCCTGGCGGCGAGTTTTGTGGAGGAGTTTGCGGAGTTGTTCCGGGGGCTGGATGAGAAGGAGCTGGACGAGCTGGCTCACAGCTTCCATTTCGATGAATGTGTGAAGCGGGAGGGGCTGAATAGGATCCTCAAGGAGCATGCTAAGGTGCCTGGGCAGTGAGCTAGCTCGAAGTCGAGCGTGGTGTATGTACTCATGTATGAACTGTGCTGCTGCTGGAATGATCAAGGACGTGGTCCTAGCGCCGTAGGTGGTGTTTGGCCGATTGGGTTAGGTAGATAGTCTAATTGCCACGACCAAATCCATTCGTACTGTCACCGCCCGAGCTATCCTTATCGATAGAGTCGGCAGAAAAAAAAACCCCGCCATCCCGCTTCGTTTTTTCCCACTTTGGTCTGACTCTGCCCTCTAGCCACTTCTGAAATTGTCTTGCTGGGAAGTTGGCTCTGTCGCGGTGGTTTCCAGATCGTCAAGAACTCATAGCATGAGTCTGTGATTGATTCTTTCCTGAGCTTTTTCTATAATTCAACGAATTGCTAATGTGAAGAGCCTGCTCTGTTTTATCTTGATTAACAATCATTCGTACCTGAAATCCCGCCTTGCGACTACCGTTAATCATTCCCGGATATCCTGCGCCCACCTTCCCTTTCCTCAAGTCACAGTCCTTCACTTGAGCAATCATCATGACTGACACCACTGAATCCCTCCCCGCGTTCTTGAACACGGCATTCGACGAGACATCGTCAGTGCGGGACCGATACGACCCCATTTCGCTCGCAGACGCCGAGATCATCCCTATACTGCAACTGCCGCTCGCAAGGGAGGTTTTTGGACACAATGCGGAGGAGAGTGCTTTGGATCGCATCGCCAAGGGCGAGGTATCCTATACCAGCTTTCTGGTCGAGAAAGTGCAGGCGGTCTCGCAATCACCCGTGGAGGGCCTGACTTCCGACCAACAATGCTCGCAGTTGCTTCACATTGCCCTGGCTGCTCTCTTCGCGTTCCTGCAATCCAACGTTACGGGCCCTCCTTTGACCTACAGCCCCGCCGACACCATCATCCCCGCTGCTCTGCGGCCCGACGCAGTCACCCTCCGAGCCGTTCGTGCCCATGTCATCCGTAACCTCTCCGTCGACGGTGAGGCAGCATACAAGCTGACCCCCAACGTCGAGCTGTTTGCTGTCGCCAAGGCCATTCTGGCTGATACTGATGTCCTGGTGACGAACGGCAGCCCGCTGGTGGCCCGGACGGCACGACTCCGCGTCAATTTCCTCCACCAGAAGATGCTGTCGGAGGTCACTGGTACCCTGCAGGATGTGATCTACAACGAGCTCGATGACATTAGCAAGGTGGTCTTGAGTGCCCAGTGCACTGCGCAGGAGAAGGGAAGCTTTTTGCTCGAGAGAGCCACTATTCACACCGTTCACGGCTTCGACGCCAAGGCCCGCGCAGATCTCGAGCAGGCCGCCAAAGAACGGAAGTTCGAGTTTGCTTTGACCGGTAAACTGGGCAAGAGAACCAAGTTCCAGGAACGCGATGTCAGTCAGCTCGTGATTCTGGCCAAGAGCGCTGAAACGACGTCGGAGGACAACAAGGGCGAGAACGCCTCGGGCCCGAAGAACCTTGATCTCAACGACGATACCCTGTTGGAATCTATCTCCTTCGCTAAGGCCGACGCCAAGGCCGAGGGAGAAGAATCTCTAGACAAGCCGGTGACTGTGCAGGATGAAGCGGCACTTCCACCGGCATTGGCTGCCCTTGATCCGGGCGACCAGCCGAAACTCGAACCCATTGACTCCGCCATTCTTCTTGCCTTCGCATCGGCTATCACCAACACCGCACCGGAGAACGGCATCACCCGCGAGGAGACAGCGCCCTACGCTACCCGTGTCTTAGAAGGTGGCAGCTCGAACTGGCAGATCTACACTCAGGGTTTGTTGGTGCGTAGTCGCGTCGAGGGCCACCGATCCAGAACCGTCGAGAGATCTGTGCTGCAGATGCAAGCTCTCGTGGATCAGGTCATCGCCGACACCGCCACCTCTGATGAACAAGCCGGCATTGCCGTCGATGAGCCCACGACCTTCCTGCCGCGCCCCGAGAAATCCGAGTCCGCCTCGGCCGCCGAGAGATTGCAATACGTGTGGCTCATGAACTTCTCCACCCGCTGGGACCTGGAGGCCGAGCTTGCAACTCGGTGGGTCAACCTTGGAGGTCTGCGGACCGCCCTTGACATCTACGAGCGTCTCCAGATGTGGGCCGAGGCTGCACTTTGCTACGCCGCAACGGAGAGGGAGGACAAGGCCCGCCAGATGGTCCGCCGGCAGCTCTACCAACCGACGGGTGAGAATCCCGACGATGACAGCGAGAGGTTCGAAGGACCGGAGCTGTCTCCCCTGCCCGCCGATGCGCCTCGCCTCCTCTGTATCCTGGGTGACATCGACACCGACGCCGGCATGTACGAGCGGGCCTGGGAGGTATCGAACCAGCGATACGCGCGTGCTCAGCGGTCCCTGGCCCGCCACTACCTCACCCTGAAGCCCCCGGCCCTCGAGAAGGCCGAAGAAGCCTACCGCAAAAGCTTAGACATCAACCGTCTCAACCACAGCGCCTGGTTCGCGCTGGGCTGCGTCCAGCTCGAGCTCCACCGCTGGGACGACGCCATCTTCTCCTTCACCCGCACCGTGCAACTCGACGACACCGACGCTGAAGCCTGGAGTAACCTGGCGGCCGCGATTCTCCGCTCCCCCAAGCCCGACGAAGAAACCCCCGTCGTCATCTCCGAACAACCCCGCAAGCCCAAGGCCCCTCTCGCCGACGACGAGGAGGAAGCCTCCGGCGACGACGACGAGGCGCCCGCCCCGCAGGACCCGTACAAACGCAAGCGTGAGGCCCTGGCCGCCCTCCACCGCGCCGCCTCGCTCAAGCACACCGACGCGCGCATCTGGGACAACGTGCTGACGGTCGCGGCCTCGATCCCGCCGCCCTTCACCCCGTTCCGCGACGTCGTCACCGCCCAGCGCCGCCTCATCGAGCTCGTCGGCTCCAAGAAGGGCGAGAAGTGCATCGACATGCCCATCCTCGGCATGCTGGTCGACCACCTGGTCCGCGCCTACGAGTACCAGGACCTGCTCATCCGCATCGACGACAGCAACCCTGCCTCCGAGCGCATCGTGCGCTCCGGCACCGTCCCCGGCCAGATTCTCTCGCTCGTCGACCAGGCCGTCGTGCCCCTCATCACCCACTCCGCGCCCATGTGGCTGCTGGTCGCCAGCGTCGAGGCCTGGCGCGACCAGCCATCCAAGGCGTTCGAGGCCCATGAGAAGGCCTGGCGTGCCACGGTCGCGTCCTCCACCCAGGGCGCGTTCCAGATGGGCGACGAGAAGAAGTGGTTGGAGGTCGTGCGCGCCACGGAACGGTTGGTCCGTGATGGCTACGCCCGCTACGGTCCCATGGATAAGGAAGGTCAGGAGGGTGCTGCGGAGGGCGAGGCCGAGTTGGTGGCTAAGGATTGGCGGTTCAAGGCCCGCAGTGCCGTGCGTGGTATCCTGGGTAAGGGCAAGGAGTTCTGGGAGGATTCGGAGGGGTGGGAGCGCCTGAAGGCCTTGCAGTCTGAGGTGGGCAGTGCATAGATCATTGATTCTGTGTGATTCAAATGCATGTATAGAGAAAGAGCTCGTGTGTATGCGGTTGTGTGTGAAGCATTTATAAAGCTGGTTACCGAGGTCGGACCAGGTTTCTATTAAGTCACGATTATTCATGTTCCGAATCTGAAAATTTCAAGCAGACATTGTGTTATTTTTTCTTTGCCAGACAAAGGTAATATCGATCCTATTTACCTGATTGTGATTTGGGCATTGGGGTATCGGGGTTTGGGATTCAAATCATGGCTTGCTGTCGATCTTGCGCTTTAGCATGCCGCAGAAACTCTCGAAGAGAACAGTGTCTGTTCCTTTGATCCACCGGATGATCACCTTCACCCCTTTGTCGTCGCTGACCTCTTTCTGTAACTGCACCCTGAACCCGAGAGCGGCCTTGCTTTCCTCTACCGGGGGCTGGTCGGCCATCGCGTCTGGGTTGCGCAACTTGCGGCGGGCTTGACGGGACCAAACGTTCTGCATCGCGAAGCCCACGCCTGTGGCGAGGCTCTTGCGCCAGAGCCACTGGAGGGGGAGCGCGCCTAGCTCTGCGTCAACGGTGGTAGCCACCTCATCGATTGACTCGGTCGTGGCTGTGAAGGTATATTCGGAAGGGAATGGGAGAAGGTGTTTCGGGATCGTAGGGATGCCTCGGGCTACGGCCTGGTTTATCCGTCAGGATTGGGGACAGACTCCCTCTATGCACAGATATGGGCACATACCGTTGTCGGACGGATATCGGTCCATGACCAGGCTAGGGCCCATCGCTTGGTCTTGTTACCCTGGACGAACTCTGTCACGGCGTAGTTGTTGTTGCCATGCTCAATCAACTTCTCGATGAGGACGGAGATGCTGCTCAGCTTGCCGCACATCGATGTGTACCAAAATACCTTGTTGCGCAGCTGCAGACTTTCTTCGATCATTCGGGAGATGAAAGCGACTTCTCCACCTGCTGTTACCATCTCGACTTCTGCACCTGTGCATGCCTGGGGGGTTTGCGTAAGTGGTTGAATGATCTGAATCGCGGAGGTCAACGCTCATACCGAGAAGGGTGGCCTGTCCTTGGCTTCGGCAGATGCTACCATCTCATCCTGAGAAGCGTAGAAGGGAGGATTGCACATGGTGAAGTCTAGTCTTCGTTGTGTGAGGCAGAGCAGATACAACAAGGGCCTGTTGAACAGACCTATCGACTTTGAGTTTCGTGTCCAATGGAATGAGTTTCTCCTCTGAACTTGTTCTAACAACCGTGATTCGCGAGTCAAGCCCATTGGCGATTACGTTTGCTCGCGACGACTCGATATTGCCTTCGTCAATATCTACATAGTGTGAGTGAAATCCGCATGGGCTTGTGGCTCCGCAAAAGGACTTACCTGTAGCAAAAAAGCTCCAGCCAGGCCGCATGGAGCAGCCTAATAAAGGGTAGATGCTGCAACATCCTGTCCCGCTGTGGTTTCACGATCAATGCTTGATCTGTGGGATTATAAAGTGCGACGTACATGTCAAGTCCGACGACTTTTCGATCGGCGTCGTAGCTACCCTGGTACTTGTCTCCCGTGGTATCGAGGAGATCTTGCAGCCAGAGGATATAGTTCAGCCTATGAACGGTTAAAACCCATGTGCAGCAGCCTACTAATGATCGCGTGTCTTTCTTCTATACCTGTTCGGAACCTGTACTGCATAATTAGCTGGTCACAGTTGTCGACGATCTGGAATTTTTCGGGATTTGCATACCGGAGGGCAAAGTCTCTTGTCCGGAATGTTCACCTTCAGGCCGAAATCTCGCTGTAACAGACTCTTGGTCAATTGTCTATGTTCGTTAGCTCGCGGCTTGAGAGTGTTTAGAGTGTCTTTGGTAGCATTAAGGGCCCACCTCACGGCATCGGGGTCGGTAAAGTCCAATTGCCCGTTAGATTTAAGACTAAATTTAGGACTTATGAGCTTTTTTTGCCGGTCATTTCATGACGAATCAAGTGGCTTGCATAGGGAACGTACTACTTTGCGAATTCAGGGGACTGCAGGGCAAGGGCGGTGAAGTCGATATCATCCTTGTAGATATTGCGTGATGCGCTCATGGTGTCACTGCCAACGAAGGAGGGGAGTTGGGGAGTTGGGGTCATGTGTAAGACATCAAAGAAATAAAATAACGATGATGCTGCTGATGATGAAATGTGCAGGAGGGGGCTCCCATGGAAGCACACCGTGGATGTGGGTGGAGACTATCCGAGGCAAATCCACTGACACGCGACAGGAACATGCAGGAGGAGTGCTTTAGGTCGACAGGGGGAGGACTTAGTCTAGCGTGGACCAACTATGAGTATTTTACTCATGTACACTGAATCCACTTGGTCCAGTTCTGAATATGAGGTAGGTGGTAAGTGTCAAAGAAGTCAGAGAAGAGTAACTTGATGGGCTATAGTCAAAAAGGGAGAAGATCAGTTCTATGCCTGCCTTTCTGAGCCAATTCAGCCTGAGGCCGCAACAAGGCTGGATAAGGCGGAGAGCAATGACATCACCCCACTCACGGTTTGGTGCGCCCTGGACTCAGGGCTGGCTTTTGATTGCATTTCCGCGTCTCCATATTAGATTCTGATATTATTACCTCACTTTAATCTCTCCCACTGGTCCCTGCCCGCATGCCGATCGCCTTGGCGGATCTGGAAACTGTTCCCAGGCAGAAACCTTTTTACACAGTCCACAGTTGTTATCTTCTGATTGATTTCCGATCGTCGGTGGATCCCCCCTCCTCTCCCCTCTTCCTTTTCCCCATTCTTTTTCCTCCCACCAGCTGCAGTTGACAGACCCGGCTGCAGATTTCCCCTGCCCCTTCTCATCACTTAAAATCTACTATAACTCTATCGCGCTGGGTCACGATGGAGAAGCTGAAGTCTAAAATCGATCACTTGGAGGATCATCTCAAAGGTTAAGCTTCTCTCTCCCTCGGTGGATTCGACTAATTAGCCGTTGGGAAAACAGACACCCACATTGAGAGTTTTGAGGCAAAGGCCTCTCATTTCAAGCACAAAGTCGGCAAATTCTTCAACATCATCAACCCCAATCATCGCCATGATGAAGCGCACGAACAGGAGACGGACCGCAAAAGAACCGCCATTTCCGAGTCCAACCGGTTTCAATCCTTCGCCCCCATCCGCGAAGGTAACCGGGTCAAGTGGTATGTTGATGCGCTCGACTATATGTGGGCCGTCTCCATTGCTCTGGAAGAGGCCAAGGAGGTCATCTACATAGCCGACTGGTGGCTCTCTCCAGAGCTCTTCCTCCGCCGGCCTGCGTATGCGCATCAGGAATGGCGACTGGATCAGGTCCTCAAGCGCCGTGCAGAGGCCGGGGTCAAGATCTACGTCATTGTGTATAAGGAGGTCCGGTTGCCGCCTCGGTTGCACAGTTGCAGAGTCGCTGACGCGAAGTAAATAGGTGAATCAAGCCTTGACCTGCAACTCGGCTCATACAAAGCATGCTTTGCGCGCACTATGTCCCGAGGGCTCGCCCGGCTACGGCAACATTAAAGTCCTCAGACATCCGGATCATAACATCTTCGAGAACGCTGCAGACATGACTCTGTACTGGGTACGTCTGCACCCGCGCATGCGCCCACACTTAAATTGACCATCAATCTGTTAGGCACATCATGAGAAGTTTCTTGTCATTGATTATGCGTTGGCGTTCATTGGCGGTATTGATCTGTGCTTCGGAAGATGGGATGCTCATCAGCACCCTCTAGCCGATGTTCACCCTTCCAATCTGGAAGACGAAATTTTCCCCGGACAAGAATTCAACAACAATCGGATCATGGATTTCCAGAGTGTGCAAGACTGGCAGCAGAACGAGCTCAGCAAAGCGGAATACGGTCGGATGCCTTGGCATGACGTCGCCATGGGTGTGATGGGTGACTGTGTGTACGACATCGCAGAGCACTTTGTTCTTCGCTGGAACTTCATCAAAAGGGACAAGTATAAACGTGACCATGGCGTTGATTGGCTTATGCTGGAGGGTCGCACCGGTGAGGACGAGGATCTGGTGGGAGTACAACGCCCAAAATACCCTTGCGGCGACTACGTGCAACACCCCCTGAAGCCTCTCGAAACGAAGCCCCTTGGCAAGCAGGGATTTGCGCGGGCACAGATCGTGCGCAGCAGCGCTGATTGGAGTAGCGGCATCCTACCCGAGCACAGTATTCAGAACGCCTACAAGGAGGTTATCAGCCAGGCCCAGCATTTCGTCTACATCGAGAACCAGTTCTTTAGTGAGATAACCCCGCTTGATCTAGTCTCATTCCTGCATATACTGATAGTTTCTAGTCACGGCTACTGGAGACCAGCAGAAGCCCATCCTGAACACAATCGGGCGGTCAATCGTCGATGCAGTCGTCCGAGCGGGCAAGGAAGGAAGGAAGTTTCGCGTGATCATCGTCATCCCCGCTATTCCCGGATTCGCAGGAGATCTCCGACAAAACGCCGCGACCGGCACACGCGCGATCATGGATTACCAGTACAAGTCGATTCATCGCGGCGAGCACTCCATTTTCGGGCAGATCTCTGCTCAGGGTGTAGACCCGAGACGTAAGTCGAACCACACCTAATGCGGGAAATCATGTCTAACATGAACAGAGCACGTCTTCTTGTTCAATCTACGGGCTTATGACCGTATCAACAAGACTCCCGCTCTCGAAAGTTTGGAAAAGGAGGCCGGCGTCACGTACAATGACATCCAACGTGGAATAGCTGAGTCTATCATGAGCGATAGTGTTCATCCTGCTATTGACAACGAAGGAGACAGGCATGAAGTTGGATATGATAACGCGCAACAGGAGAAGGAGGCGCGGATTGAGCAGTTGCGCAAATACGAAGAGCAGGTCGAACGTCATAGGGAGAAAGAGGGCTTGAAAGGCTGTGACACCGTGGCGCACACAACGATGCTCAACGGCGGTAGAATGTCTGACGAGCCTTGGGATGGCGAGCCCGACGCTGAGATAGACAACATTGTCCAAGAGGAACTTTATGTGCACGGCAAGGTGTGCATTGTCGATGACAGAATTGCTATTTGTGGAAGCGCCAATATCAACGATCGGGTAAGTCTTTTTCATTCTCCCCTTGCAGCTACCTACATTAGCCCCTGCGAGCAGCCCAATTAATCCATCTCGCACAGTCTCAATGTGGCTACCACGACAGCGAGTTAGCCATCGTTGTTGAAGACCAGGACTTCATCGATAGTACCATGGACGGTCAGCCATACAAGGCCGCCCGCCTTGCAGCAACCCTGCGTCGCCAGCTGTGGCGCGAACACCTCGGCCTGCTTCCCTGCCAGGAATACGATGCCTCGCAGCACCCCAACGCCCAGCCCCCGTACGCGTGCATGAATCAGATTCTCGAGGGGCCTGAGAATGACTTTGTCACGGATCCCATGAATGACGCACTGTGGGAGATGTGGACCAAGCAAGCCACCGTCAACACCGACATATACCGGATGCTCTTCCGCGCGGATCCCGATGACAAGATCCTCACATTTGAGGATTACGATCACTTCGTTCCTAAAGGCATCAAGCAGGGCCATTTGTTTGACCCCTACCAACCCATCCAGGACACTCGCGAGAAGCTCGACAAGATCAAGGGACATCTGGTTTGGATGCCGTTGGACTTTTTGAAGGATGCGAATATGGCCGAACCTGGTTTGCAGGTGAACCAAATCACCGAGGTGAGCTTGTTCCCATGGGTCACAATATGAATGGTATACTGATGAAAGGCGAACAGAGTATTTACACCTGATTGACGGTGCTTTTCGTGAAATCTATGGGCCTCTGGCATGCCTCTAATCTCTTAATCATCTGCTTCACATCTGAAATACATTTCCCCTAGTGGTCTTTTGTAGTCTAGGATGACCCGGAGACTGTAATATGATTGTATATTATCTACAGTCTACATCTAACCGAGCAGCCCCGTCTCGCATCCATGATACCCCGGGAGCCAGTAGAATAAAAGACGAGCCCGTGGTCCAATCGGTAGAATTACCAGAAGATTCCCGGCGTTCCCCAAAACGTCTGCATACATAGGCTGGACTGGACAGTACAGTACCTACAAGGTTCCTTACCCTTACTGGATCTGCACTTTCCCATTCGCTCTCTCCGCAAGACAAGAGCCTCCAAACTGTGGACCGAACACAATGCCTCACCCTCTCAAACTAAGCATAAAAGATTATTAGCTCATGCCAGGCAATGATTGCTACAGAGGCCATGTCCCTCCCCATCTGCACGTTCATCAAAACAGGAAAGATGTGTATCAGGGCGGAATACGGGGTCACAATGAGCGCGTATTCCATCCTTACTGTTCTGTTTCTCTTCTACTTCCTCGCCCACTTCTTCTTCAGTGCTACAAATAAACCCCCCGCCCTGAACCTCCAGAGTCCCTCTCTATCCGATACCATAGAATACTCTCTCCTGTGAAGACCTACATATCCATCTATCCTGGCAGCGCCTTTACTGTACAGTACAAGAGGCAGGATTTCAGGTAATGCAAGGGACGGCTCGTTGCTCGTTTTGCCAACCTTACAGCACAGCATCGCGGGGCTGTTGGCGTTGGCAAGCCGCTGACGCTGCGGCATTGTTATGTCACTGGTCTAGCTTGCTTTGATTTTTTTTTCCGTTGGGGGTATCCATTTGTATGAGGGTAGGGGACATGCATGGTGTCAGAGATGTCGGAGAGCGGATTTGGATGATGGTTGGCGGTGCGGGGGAGGGGAATTTGGCGTTTGTGGGGGGGGGGGGATCCGCTTGTCGCTCTGTTGGTTTGTCTTGTCTATACCTTGCTATAGACCAACTAGAGGAGTTGGTGGCTGTAGTATGCCCGGTTCGATATCAGTACCCAGAAGGAAGACAGGGGAGGTGGTTTGCGTCGCCGCAGGTTGTATTGTCTTTCCCCGAGGAAAAAGAGTCTATGAGTTATTTTCTATCTAAGGGTAGAGCAGAGGATCGATCGCCAGGACTCCGGAGGGACAAACAAGACATCCCTAAGGATACACCCAAATTGAAAAGAAATGAATAAAAGAGAAAACTGCCCGACGAAAATGCCATCAAGCAATGATCCCCAAACCCTGGTTTCTTGAACCTGAACGCCGGAGCGATGCAATTCTAAAAAGAACAGCACTGTGGACAAAACACGCGTAGGCTTGACAAGAACAGATCAAAAAGTCGGCAGCAGATGAGCGTTTTGCAAGAGCGAGACAAAAGTCAGCGAACAACTGAACGCGAAGCAGATCAATCAAGGGTCACAAGCTGCATGAGACTGGATCTGTTGTATCCAGCCATCAAGACAGCAAGTCAGTTGCAATGCCGCCGCAGGTAAGCTGGAATGTGCTGTTTCTTCCGCTTGTAGTAGGTCAGAAGAACGTCAAACCTCTCCCTTCTCTCTTGAGCTGGATCGAAAAGAGAAGAATGCATCGAGCCTCGGATTGCCATGGGTGGGCAGATGGAGAAGATATCCGGACGAGGTCGTTCGTCCAGAAGCGACGTCTGGAAGTAAAGAATGCCACCTGCATCTGGGTGGTACAGGTGACAGGTAGGCTAAGAGAACAAAAGAGGATAAAGTGGACCTATTAAGAAAAAGAAAGACAAGGGATTTGGGTCAGATTATCCGTCAGAGGACAGATTTGCATGGGGTGCTCTGCCGATCCCAATGCAAGCCATGCATTGGAACCAAGCTGCGGCGGTGTCGTCAGATTTCGAGAACCCTTCCAGGGCGAGCACTGAGGAGTCCCAACGTTAGTCCTTTTTGTTCCACAACAGGCGCACAGTATGTTACTGTGAACGGATGGGTGTTGTATCCGGCCAGTGGCACTTACCGATCCCCAAAGCAAGGGAAGAACTATGCTTTGGCGGTGTGGCATGCGTTGCAGCGAAAATGGAGACAGATCTTGCATTGCCAGATGGCAACATAGGGGCCGGAGTTGCAGTCGGAACATCGCCAGGTAAGGATGTTGCCGTTCGTTGCCTGTACAATGGCGAAACGATGACCGGAGCATTGGTTGGCCATTGTGCTTTGGGTCTCTCTCTGGTCAAAGTCCGTCAGTTCTTCAGTTCGGCTGCCGCTCCCTTGTGCACGAGACACAAGATGCGGATCAGGAGATCTCATGGCCTTACCAAAGTTTGGATCAACAGAATAAGAGGCTTGGAGTGTGAGTTAACGGTGACTTTCGAAGCCGGATCTTGCGTGTAGTCGCAATTGGTTTCTTAGTGCCGTAGGCCTGGATTATATGGTAGCTTGCTCTTCCGCAAGGCCTGAGTTCCTCGAAGACGATTGAATTGAGTTGGGAATGGAGAGTGACGAGAAGGAATGGGTGATTCGTTCTGAATAAGAGGAAGCAGTGACGGAGGTGATGCGATGATCCCAAGAGGAGGATGAAAGAAGAAGTAAGTGTTGATTGTGGTTCTGCAGAATTGAAGAACGGAAGGGCAGCGAAGCCATAGTATATATAGGATTCGGAGGTCACTCTCTCTCTCTCTCTCTCTCTCTTTCTCTCTCGCGTGCGCTCTCTCTCAACGACGGGCTGGTTGCATTGCTTTGGAATGACGGTGTCTCAAAGAGCAATCCCAACTACAGTCACTGTATGGCGGACAGAGGTCCAGAAGCAGCACTCAATCAGGCGAGAAGCCTACCAGCTGCATGGAATCCGCACTCGCCGTCGGCAGGGAAGCAAGCACGATGCACGTACCCGGTCTGCTCTCGACGGATCATTAATTGGGAGTGGAGTCGCCTACAGCTACCACAGCCTGATGAAGACAATCCGAAAAATAGTAAGGGGAGACGAGGACGGAGAAAGGATGCGATCGAAATAGAAGGAATCGGGTGTCGACAAGACGAGTGCGAGATGTATGTGAGATCTCGAGATCGAGAAGGAAAGAAGGAAAGATGTGGAGGTACCATATGGGGGGGTAGGATTATTCTTGCAGAAAGAATTCAGAAAATTAAGAAACGAAAAAGAAAATAAAAAGAGAAGAAGAAAATGCCATCTAATTATCTGGATATCCGTAAATCGAAATAAATTCAATTAAAACCCAGATTGAGTTACGGAGTACAGTTACTTGGATCCAGGGCCAGGTCAATGATATCTGTCCACTGGTAAACTGTCTAACCGGTCTAATTACCTTTAGTCCCCGTCAATGAATCAATGAATAGATCCGACTGGGTGATTGAGTCGTGGTGTTGCTTCTACAGATCATTTTTCAAGGTGGATCCAACCCACTCCGACTACTAACTTACTCCTAGTCTCCTACATACTCCGTACTGACTGACATCTTTCTTTCTTTCTTTCTTTCCTTTCTTTCTTGGTTCCTCATTTTAAGCTTTGAGTTTCGGTCATGACAACCTTCCCCTTAATAATAATTCCATCATTACCAGGACCAGTCAAAGAAAACGCACCCAAAGGGGCTGGAAGGAAGAGTTGAAGACAGGAAATGGAGTGTAGATCCGATCCGATCTGCTGCTGCTTCCTTGTCTAGCCCCGGCCGCCTTCCTTTCATTCCTTCTTACCGTCTCCCGTACTTCCTCTCTCTCTCTCTCTCTCTCTACCTCTGCTCCACTTCCCCCTCTCTCCCCCCCTCCTCCATCTCCACTTCCTTCTCTCTATCTATCCATCCATCCATCCATTCATCTACCTATCTATGCATCATGATCGATCACGAATTGATCCTTCCGCCCTTTTCACATCCTGGTTCCTGGAATCTCGATCGTTCAGATCCAGCCTTCCTGGCCAATCCTTCTACCCCATCGCTCGTTCTTGTTTCCCCATCGATCGTTGCTGTCACTTCTGTTTATGCACCCTCCATACCCCACAAGGCCTTCCTTGACCTCGACCGAACGTCATGCATCGAACCCATTTTTCTAGAACCTCCATCGGTAGTTACTTGCGCATCATTCCGATCCAGACCCATCTCAACGACTGCCGTGCCGCTCACTCCAATTGTTTGCTCTGGATCTATCCATCATTCTAAAACTGGCAATCGCTCAGAGCTATTTGCTTTTGAGTTTGAACTCATTTCCAACTGCAATCGCCGTTAAACTTCGGCCATACGGTTCACCACAGGAAGAGGATGTCGGTCTGCCGGTGCTACCGATGCACTTCGCAGAGCAGGCAGGGGCTTCCCGACAAGCTAGGACAAACAATCGCAGCGCAACAAAAAGTACAATTTTACACTCTAAGATCTCACCACTCTAAGCTGTCAGCGCTGCCTCTCTCGACTTGATGGGCCAAGTAAAGCACTGGGATTAACGTTCATACATCCATGGTTTCGGGTCCATCCCTGCAGCTGTTCCCAGCCCGCCTTTGCAGAGGCAACGTTGGGGGCGTCGCTGACGCTTGAGCAAGCAGGCACGACCCCTGTGAGCGTCACACCTCGATTCAATCATGCTTCGTTCCTGTCTATTTTTGCCGATCAAGCCGATTGCGCCGTGCGTCTGCAGGCGACCCGCACCCGCGAACCAGGATTATCCCCAAGTGGCTTGCCGGTAAGTTTTGGGGGCCCTGGAGAACAAAAGTCGTCCGTACTTCGTAATATGATCCAAAGTCAACAGTGCCTAGTTCACAAAGTTCTAAGTTGAGATTGCTCCGTGTCTGGAACAGTGAACGACCTCCTGGCCAGTACTTACCTTTGATTGGTTCGCTTGCTCACCAAACTGTCGTCTTTCGTGGGTTTTTATCACTATGAGTGGCTGTAGTCATGCGAGCTGTAAGCCGCTCACCTACCGCTCGTTTGATTATGTCGATCTTCCCGTAAATGAGCTCCAACGACAGAGTTGGCTGTTTCGACCACAATATCGGAAGTAGCAAAACGACCATCAAACATCCCCTCTAGCCTCGAGCCGAGATGCCATTCCTCTTACTGATGTCAATGTGTCATCATTTGGGATAATCTTAGAACGAACTGCACCTGCAGTCCGGGACCCGACACGCGGTGCTTCTAGTGCTCCGAGCGTTCCCTTAGTTCTCGAATTCTCAGGTCTAGGATGAGAACACGAGAGGCTGAACCCGACCCAGCGCTTGGGTCAAGTGCGGTGGATATCGCTTGACAGGCGGGTCGATTCCTGTCAGCATGGCGGGGATACAAGAAGCAACACTGCCGGTACTGCGTACTTCAGCCGCGCTTGAAGGCCATTTGTGGCTGGACTAGGCATCCACCAAATGAGATGATCAATGAGACGCTTCAGGGTTGCACCTTGTCAGATTGCCTTCAATACCCTAGGAATTGTTGAGACAATACCTATAGTATCCTTCTCAAGTCGAGGTTCCATATGCTCAACGACTTTGGACGAGGTACGTAAACCGCTTGCAAGCAAGCATCCGAGGCCGATTCCTTGATTTCAGGAACCACAAATCACCACTGGTCATGCTAGCCGCATGCTTCCCTGATCTACCGGGAATGTTCCGGACATAAAATCTGCGCCGTCGTGCTTCGGGCCTTGCTAGTCTGGTTTCTAATTGGCTCCGCCTCTCATAGTCCTGGGATAGGGCGTCTTCCCTGGGTTTCGGTGACGCAAGGTACTTTTGTCTGCTCGATACGTCTTTTTGTTCTGAGAAACCGCCCCCAATCGCTTTACTATCCCCACACGCTTCACTTCTCACCTATTTGTTCAGCTTACCGTATGCCGAAGGTGCAATCTGGCAAGTGGCGCTCCATAAACGAGCTGTCGGACGTGCCGCTCGACCGGGCCTAGAACAAGGGCATTCTCTTGCCATGGTCATTGTGATGCATGTAGGGCTTGGCCAGATTTTATCATCACACCCCTCCATCCTTCTCCGGATAAGTCGCAATCTCACCTCTACGCGTAGACTAGAGACTCGTTTCTAAGGCGGAAAGCAATTTTGCCCCGGATCCGTTGTTCACCATCCGATTCGAACATGTATTTCGCTTGGTCAACTAGTAACGTGCATATGAAAAAGGTTGATTCAGGAGAAATGAAAGGGGCTGCTTTCTGTTCGGCCCCGTCCAGCTTCACATAGCAAACGGACCAATCTTGCAATCAGCCCGCGGGCTCATACACACCGCCATCCTCGCTTTTGACAACAAATTGGCAACTCGGTCGGAAGCTGATTCATTCCATGCCGGCTGGCAAGCTGCACGCCGCTAATCCTGCACTGCCGTGACTTTTTCCGAGTCGTCTTAGGATAGCAACACGGGTCGGAAGATTTCGACTTGATCCCTGGCAAAAAGGAAAACTGCATCGCTCACCGAGCGCGCCAAAGGAGAATCGGATGTCTCTGAACCTACTTCGTAGTCGCTCGAGGTCAAATTTAGTCTGCAATCGATCGCGAATGCTCAATCTGACATACGATAACATCCACACAATGCAGGAACAGGAGCTCCAATCGGATCAGGACACTCTGCGAACAAGATGGTTTGGAAATCGGTGATATTCAGCTAAATTGGGGTTTGTTTACAGGCTACTCTGACATGAAGATAGTGTCCGAGATGTTCTCTTGCACCATTTCCACCGACTAAAAAGTCATGGGGGCAGATGCCCCCAAAGAAAGTGGTGCCTTCACTCCTCGACCGGTCCAGCGCAGTACGACTGCTTCCCACCGAGCCAGACGGCTCGGAAGGTCATAGAAGACCGCGCAGGACCGGTAGTTTGCTCTCCCAACGCTCCGTTAAGAACGATCCTGTGAACTCAGGTCCGGAGAATTACTCTCCTTTCCAACAGGCCGCCCCTGCAGTACCCAGAGTGGACTGCATCGCTGGTTTTTGGATTGACAGGTTGTTGTGATCGAATGGATCGACATACCAACCGCCCTACGGAAGACAGATGGTGGATATGAAACGCACCGATGGGGAAAGCAACATACACTTGGTCCGAATTGACAGGGAAACAAGGCATCTGTCTGCAAAATTGGGACTCGCGGCGCATCTTCCCGTGCTTTGTGGGAGTGATCATGTCACCGACCCCCCTGCAGCTGCGATTCCGCCCAAGCAGGATATGGGATGCGCAAATGGTCAATGGTATCATTCAGTGCTTAGATGCTGATAACAGTAGAGATTAACCTGCCGTGTATCACCACAAAATTGGACTTGCGTGCATGCAGAAGCATCAACACGGCAAGATGAAAAGAAAAAGAGCCATTCGCTGAGAAAATCATCAAGGCACTCGTCATCACTATCTTTAGTCATCATCTTGCCCCAAAACAACTCGCTTACGCTCGGGACATGGAGGTATGGGAGTGTAGGGAATAGTAGGATTGCGTTCAAAGAGGATCCATTGAGAATGGGACTCAATAGTCGGGAGGTCTAATCATTTAGATGAAACAAAGCCGAAACGCTATGGCAGCCGTTAGCAAACACTTTAAAATTGAGACTGTAGAATGATAGGAACTAACCTTTCGCCATAGTGATGGCGTCTAATGCTCTCGGCTAAGAGGCTTGAGATGTCAATGACAATCAACTTCTTCGACTTCTTCGCGACTTGGGGAGCGATGGGGAATGTGTTTGTAACGACAATGTGGTCGATGGCCTCGCATGCCTCCATCTGCTCCAGGGATTCATCCCCAAAGAGACCGTGAGTTGCAATGCAGTAGACCTTCTTCGCACCACCCTTCTTCACGACTGTCTCAGCAGCGGCGACCCAAGATCCGCTCTTGTCAATCATGTCATCGACGATGAAGACGGTCCGGTTGCGCACGTCACCGACAAGAGTGATGGTCTTCTCTTGCTCAGCGTGACGCCCCACGCTACCCTCCTCGTCGGAGGACTCGGCAGCATCGAATGAGCCGCCTAGCGCGTGGTCGCCGGGAAGGGAAGGGGTGGTCGAGATGAGAGAGTTGATCATCGACTCGGGAACCGCCTCCGAAGGTTCGCCGCTCGCATTCTGACCTGGGGTTGTTTCGCCCGAAGCAGGTACAGAAGTGGGACCGGTAGAAGGATAGTCATCATCCACCAGGTGACCCTGAACCAGTCGGCCGGTGATGACGTCCTGGACACGAACATCGGTGTACTCGTGTGCCGCTTCCAACTCCGACGGACGGCGAGCGCCGGTCGGGGTCTCGGGGCGCAACAGGTTGGCCGCGACGAGCGATTCCATGTTGGTGCTGGACTCCTCACGCGACTCTTCAGCCTGACCATTGTCACTAGCTGCGCTGTGGATGTGCAGAGCGAAAGGATCTTGATCTTTCGACGAGGTCGTGCTCTCTTCCTCAATCGAGTCAAAGAAGACGGTGCTGTCCGTCATCGACATTGGGACCTTGGGACGCCGTCTATCAGTCGTGACGATACCGAAGTTGAGCTTCAGGGTATCGGCAAGCGAGGTGACACGCTTGGTGCCACCAGCATTCTTGCTCACAACCACCGCTTCTCTCCAGCTAGGGACGTTCATGCGAATCCATCGAGCGATGAAGGGTTCGGCGAACAGGTTGTCCACGGGCTTGCCGAAGAAACCTTGCATTTGCGATGCCTAGATTCATCACACCTTGGTAAGAACTCCAGTCGAAGGCGGTATGGTAGATGGTCCCCAACGGCCATTGAAGACTCACATGTAGATCCAGGGTGATCACATGGTCCACTCCAGCAACCGAGAGGAGGTTGGCCAACATGCGGGCAGTGATGGCGCCACGGTGGCTCTTCTTCTTGGATTGGCGAGAGTACGGGAAGTACCTCGTTTGAGTCAGTATCAGATGCGCAGGAATGAGCTTAAACAGGACCATACGGCATGACCGCTGCAGGATGAAACAGACAAGTCAGCCATTGTACACACCGAGAGAGTGAAGCAGGGTGAGGGGAAGATCCAACGTACCTGTGATAGATTTGGCGGAACCACCCTTGCAGGCAGAGATCATAATCAACAGCTCCATCACACTGTCATTAATCTTTCCACTGCCGCTCTGCACGATGTAGACATCTTGGTTCCGCACGGAGACGCCGATGTCTACTCTGGTCTCGCCATTGCTGAATTTCCCGAGGTTGGCTCGAGCCGGCTGGGTGCCTAGTCGCTCACAGATGGTCTCCGCCAGGGAAGGGTGGGATGTTCCCGAGAAGATTTGTACTCCCCGCATCTTGGTACTTGACTTAAGACTGAGAAGGCATGGACCGGTAATAATAGGAATGAATAGCCAACGTGGGCGGTGGAATCATTTCAAGATTACCGGCCCAGAAAGCAAGGAGTGGGGGATTGGGGGAGGGGGATTTGAGGGGAGGAGGGGAGGAGGGGAAGGGGAAGGAAAGAAAGAAAGAGAAGAGGAAAAGAAAAGAGGGAGAAAAAGAATGGGAGAAAAAAAAGGGCCGCGGTGGGTAAAATTCGTATTTTTTTGCAGTTTGGGAAGTGGGCAGAAAACGGCAGGCGGAAGGTCACGGGATTATGTTTTGGTTCCGAATGCTTCCTCGGGCTGATGATAATCGATAGGCGATGGCCGATAGGAAAACTTGCCTATGACACAACCACACCACCACCACCACCACCACCACCATCAATCCGATTCTGTCTACATTCACAAGAATCGCAATGGCGCAAAAATTCCCCGAGGTCCAGGGAGGAGGCTCCCTAATCATTGCCTGGCAAGCAAAGAATAAACATATCCTAGTAGTCGGTGGGGGAGAGGTTAGTAAAGCTACCCCCCATCCCTCTCTCTTATCGCCGATGCGAATATATATATACTCCATCTCTTAATTCCAGCATACACACAGAACCCCCCCTGCCCCTCGACACAGTCACACAGAGACTAACCATTCTCCCCGATCCATCCAAAATAAAAGGTCGCAGCCGGTCGCATCCTCCACGCCCTCAACGCCGACGCCCGAGTGACGGTCGTGTGCCCCGCGGCCGGCCTGAACGAGGAGGTCGCCTACCGGGTGGCCCAGGGCCAAGTGACGCACGTCGACCGGACCTTCGAGCCCCACGACCTCGACACCGCCGACATGGTGCTGTGCGCCATCGACGACCCCGCGGCCTCGACGCGCGTCTGGCAGCTCTGCAAGGAGAAGCGCATCCCCGCCAACATCGCCGACGTCCCCCCCGAATGCGACTTTTACTTCGGGAGTATGCACCGCGACGGGCCCCTCCAGATCATGGTCAGCACCAACGGCAACGGCCCCCGGCTGGCCAGCATCGTCCGCAAAAAGATCGCCGCCACGCTGCCGGGCAACATGGGCGCCGCCATCGAGAACGTCGGCTTGCTGCGGAGGAAGTTGCGCGAGACCGCGCCCAACGTCGAGGAGGGGCCGAAGCGGATGAAGTGGTATGTTTGGCCCCCCGACCCTTCTCTTTCCGGTTGTGTTTGTTTTCAAGTGCAAGCAATGTGAAGAGAAAAAGGGGTGACCTTGTGAGCTGGGGCTGACGGATTCTATAATGGGCAGGATGTCGGGTGTTTGTGAGTCGTGGAGCTTGGAGGACCTCGTGGAGATGGAGGAGCGGGATATGGAGGGCCTTCTAGCCTTCTATGCCTCCGGGGAAATCCCCCCCTTGAAGGAGATTCGGGCGAAAGCGGCCGGGAATTGAACACTGGGGACATACATAATCTATGGGGATTCGGTGAGTACTACAGTACAGGCAGTACTCGAAGCATCTGATGTCAACCGGTTTTTGTGCGAACTATGCGACATGAGGCAAACGCACGAGGATCTTCATCAAGCTGAGGTGAGTGAACTAGGTTTACTATGGTCCATACATGTCCCAACTCAGGACCTCTACTCTATTCAGAGCCACGCCTGAAAAGAGCAGTCTCGCAGCGAGAGTGGGCGACGGGCAACAGAACCGAGAATAAACCCCTGCAACGCTTCCATGAAAGATGGTATTTTGTACATACATATATAAAGAGCCCGCTTGCACAAGATATGAAGGATAATGATAACAAAAGTTCGAGAGAAACGAGGAGCGCGAGATGACCGGGGTTTAAAGAACAAAGACGAAGGCTATGATGGAAAACTTAAGTCTAATACACCAGACAAACCTTCCAGAACAAAAGCGAGGCCTTCCCATTCATGAAAGGCGAGGATATCCAAGAAGAGAAGAAGAAGAAGAAAGAGGAGAAGAAGGGAGGAGAAAGATAGCACAGACACACAGAGCAGTATCAAGACAGATGGTCCAGTTGTGGGCGAAAGGAGAAACTCCTGACAGTGCAGGCATGAACTCAGCGCCCGCTGCTATGTTTGCGGGACAACTGGCTGGTGACGGAGTTTCGATGACTCGCCGGCGATTGCGGGCGAGGTGGCAGACCCAGCTTGACCTCGCCGACACGGCGGAAGAGGGATTGCACGGCGAGACGGACCTCCGGATTCATGTCGCGGCCCAGCAGGTCGACGGCCAAGGGGTAGAAGGTCTCGATGTGTTTGTTGAACCCTTCTGAGGCGAAGTTGGTATAGCTCTCGATGACATCCACCACGACCGGGCGCCAGGCGAGGACGTTCCGATGCTGCGAATCTTCGTCCAGAAGGACGAAGCTGCGAATGATATCCGCGCATAGTCTGAATTTAATTGAGTATTAGTCTTGCACGGTTGATTTTGTGCGAAAAAGGCTTTAAAGGAGCAACTTACGGGATGAGAGCGGCTTCGGTCTCCGCACGGCTGCTCTTCCTCTCGTCTCTCTCATCATGGTACATGCGGAACAGGATGTGAACGTAAGTGGCGGCACTACCGCTTTCTTGCTTGAGCAAGTTCGGAGGCTGCTTCATGAATCCCTGACGCCAAAGCTGCATCCGCAATTCCTTGTCCTCATTGAACTTCTTGGCGAATTGGTAGCTCTTCTTCAGTAGGCCCATGAGCCGGAGGAGCTCGTTACTGGGGATCTGGGAGTAGACCTTGTCATTGGAAAATAACTCGTGGACTGTCTCGATCATGAGCAGCTGCAGGACGCAGTTGGTGATGATCCGATTGAAGAACCGACGTCGTGCAACAGTGACCGCAGCGGGTTGTTGCTGTGCCTCTGTTTGAGGCCGATAGTCTTCCAGTGCGGCTTCGGAAGCCGTGGGCATGTCTCCCTCCTCGTGCTCCGAAGCAACGTTCTGTGCTCCGTTGATCTTGGACGGGTCGAAACTGCTGTTCTCTTGGACCGATGATGTCTCAGCTGATTCGTTTGCGCTGTCTTCGCCGGTCGCCGTCTCACCGTTTGCGGGTTTGGCTTGGGTGGAGGAGGGCTTGGAAGTGATGGAGGCCGCGGCGGTAAACAAGTCGTAGGCCGTGGTCTTTGTGAACAGCTCGACAAAGGCACCAACTACCTTGTTCCAGTGCTCCTGCTTGAACTTCGTGACGTTTTGCAGTATCAACTGCTGCAAGCAGTTACTGCCGATCCTGGCGATTGTGTCATTTTCTTGACAGATGCAGAGCGTCAGAAGTTCAAGAATGCGATCGAGCATATATTCTAGCGCATCAAAGTAGTGTGTGAACAGCGTGATCATGTTCCTTAGAGCCTGGATCATTGTTGTCGATAGCCAAACCGACAGCTCCTCGTGGTTTGGTACTTTAGACATCTCGGATTTAGACTGCAGCACTACAAAGATCGGGTAGAGAAGTTGTCGCCAAAGCACATCCCAGAACTCTTGCGGAAATTCGCCGCCGTGCCGGATGAGAGTCTCAAAGAGGTAGGTCAATGCCTGCGAGCGGACCTCGAGGTCATCACCGGTCATGAGGACGTCCTGGAAGGCAATCAAGATCGGGTACCAGAACTGCTCTTCCTTCGACTGGCGGGTAAGTTGTTGCGTCAGGTTGGTGGCGTCCTCGTGGGCGCCCTCCGATGAAGTTCCGCGATGAGAAAGCGGGCATTCTGGCGTTCTCAGCATCTTTGAAACGGTTGACTTGAGGGTTTCAATCGCTTGCAGTGACTTCTTCTGGAATCTAGAGTTCTTGGAGAACTCTGTCAGACAGACAACGAGGTCAGGGAAAGCACCCTGTGTTATGACGACGCCGAAGCGAGTATTGTAAATCTGAGTAACATGCTCGAAAGCCATGTTCACAATGCCTTCGTAGGGCTCCCGAGCAGCGACTGTGAAAACACCAAACATCGTCTTCCAACCGGAGCGGATGTTGTCACCACGTGCTTGGATCATCTGAATGAGGCAGCGGAGAATCATGTCTTTGACAGTCACAGCGCTGCTGTTCGCCATGACATGTTCGAACGGCTTCAGGAAGTCTTTCTGGAACTTGAAACCCGGCAGTTCCTCAATCTCCATAAAACGCATTGACAATTGGCGAAGCGAATCAAGAGCAAAGAAAACCACTGTCGTGTTTGAATGGCAACCTACTTGGTTGAAGTGTTGCCCAAGGACCTCCCAGATCTTAGACCATTCGATCCTTACTCGGGTCATGTTGTAGTAACTGATCTCTACCAGCTTTTGCAAACTGTAAGTTCTGGGAGAGTCAGTCTGCCCAGACGATTGAATCTCTTGCCAGCTGACCTCACTCAATGCCCGAATGAAGTCGATGATGGCCTCATGTGAAAGGTTGGCAGTGTTAGTGAAAATGCGATCAACTCCCCTAATCATCTCGACAGAGCGACTTTCCATGGCAACCTCGGTGCGGAAGGCAGAAGGTCCGTTCACTGACCGAGGACGAGGGCGTCTCGCTGCCTGCATAGACTTCCGGGAGCCATCAGAGGACGGTTGAGGCACAATACGAGCTCGAGAGACATCTGGCAGAGAACCTTCATCCACCCCATCAGTGAGGAGCTGGAGTCGGTCAAGCTGACTGACGCATGTGAGGATTTCTCTCCAAGAACCCTTGAGATGATTGCCCTCGGACAAAGCAACATCAAGCAGTGCCTTGAGTGCCTCAACGTTCTTCGCTACCATTTCCCTGACATTACCCAGGTTCGTGAACTTGGCAAGCGCTGTCACGAACGCAACCCGAGGTGTCTCCAATTCGAAAGCACAGCTGATACGGATGGCCAGCTTCATTCCCTCCATGCAAAGCCTGATCAGTTCTAGGTACTGTGTATCTTGCATTGGGGCAGATAGGCCAGACAGAAATGACATCCAGGTGACATTGAACATGGAGCCAACATGGCGAACTGAAGTCGCCGGGATGAAGCGAGAAAGTGCCTCCTTGACCGCTGTCTTGCGCTGCGCCCGGATCAAGCTGCGGTAAAGCTGCTCGGTCTTGTTGGCCATCTCTTCGGAAGCCTGCGCATACTTCTCGCCTTGAATATCCCTCCCAACTGTTGCAAAGACCTGTCCAGCTCTGGTGGCCAGACCGGCCGGCGCAGAAGTAGGAATACCAAGGTTTGCGGCATGTTCCCGTTCAGTATCCAGTACAATCTCGTTTTGTGCAATCTCGTCAAAGATGGAGCATAGATACTCGTCAGGAAGATCCTGATTGTCATTAATGCCCCGATTGTTTTTGATGAAGTCCTCCTTGTTCATACGACGACCCTTAATCTTTGCACTGTGCTGGTCGGTGTTCAGCATAATGACACTGTAGGCAAGAACATAGGCAGTATCCGCATTGGCAAAAGCATTAGGGTTTTGAGTTACGTAGCGCTCAGCAAACTTCAGCATGAAGCGATCAATCTTTTGCGCCTCTCCCGGTAGACGAAAATTCTGCAGAAATTGACGAAGAGCGTCAACAAATCGTCGCTTAGAGAAGTCCATCTGGTCAACAAAGGCATGCATGATAGCAATGTTCTCCGCATCTCCTTCACCGAGATATTCTCCTAACATGGCCTTGTCCAAGCGGTCATTCCGGTACAAGAAGGCAGCAATATCTTCGGGTGAGCTGGAGCGCACGAAACCCTCCTGAATAAAAAGTTTGATTCCGCGCTTGGCCTTAAAATTGAACTGCTGAACTGCGTTGGTGAACGCGGTCTTTCTTTGTTTGACCTTTTCAATTTGGCTTGGATCGTCTTCCGCCACCGGAGTTGTGATACCCTCGATACCCTCAATCCGTGGGGAAGAGAGAAACGATGCGGTGTTCATATCAATCGAATCTCTGGGATTATCGATCGATTTCTGAGAGGACGAGTGAGGTATAGATGCGGACTGGTCGACTAGACGTTGTGAGGCCCAGTTGTCCAATGACTGCAGAATTTCAACCAAGCATACGACCGCCTGGTTCTTCTGCGTATACTCGGGCGGCACATTTTGTAGACTTGGTTGTGGGACGTTGGCTACATTGGCAGTGGTCAACGAAGGGGGGAAGCTTCCACGTTGATGCCAGTCACTTCCCACGGATGAGACTTTGACATGGTGTTCCTGATATTGCTGCTGTTGAGCATGGGTGACCGTAACAGGAATGCTCGCATAACGCGACAGCTGCTCGATGATACTGTTTTAATCACATGTCAGACGTGTTCATCCACTGGATAATGGAGCAGCGGGCACATACTTTTGAAAAATATTCTCTAATGCTGTTCTGTCACAGTCATAATTGAGGTAGATCTCAACCAGAGCGCGTGGGTCACCGGCCAATCGCTCGAGAACCTCCATGAAGTATTGCTTTTGGAAAGCGGGCGAATTGCGCTTTTCCAGAATGGTCAAATAAATCTCCTTCAGGAAAACCTCAAGTTCTTTCTGTTTCGAGTTAGCTTATTGTAGTTGAACGGTGCTAAGAAGCCCACCGACCTTCATCATCACTCTCATGTGTTTCAGCATGAGCCAAAAAATCTCACAGCACACCTCGTAAACTCTGGGTACCGAGCTTGACCCATTCCGACTAAGGCTCAGGCAGAGATGAGGTTTGACGGCTTGCAGAAATGTCATTGCATCAGAAGTGCCCGAGCTAGTTGAGCTGTTCTTAATTGTCAAGAGCGGAGACGCAAAAGCATTGGCTTGGTTATTAAGGAGGTAATGAATCAGATGCAAGGATAGCAGCTTCGATCTCATGTTCTGAGATTTGAGGTCCTGCTGTTGATCGTGGTTCAGATTCTTGTGACTCAGCTTGCAAAGAGCCCTGAACACGAGGAAAGCATCCTTGACGTAGATTTCATCTTCATCATCATCTGCGGTGCTGTCGCTCTCTTCGGTGAAGGTCCCCGAAGAAGATCGGGCCGGCCTCTGATTCCTGGCGCGGGTGACCATGGTTGGCGCATTATCGTTGACTGTGGTCACCTCCTTGTTCGATTCGAAGCTTTGCAGAGTGAGCTTCTCCCCTGGCTCTTTCGAGACAGGGTGGTCTGAGCTTGCTTCATGAACTTCGTCATGCACATGTTCATCCTCTTGAGGAGCGTCGGCGGCCTCCAGCGTAACATTGTCCGAAGAGCTACCGTGCCCTTTATCACCTTCACGTAACCGCAGCTCCTTCAGCTCAAGTCTTACGTTGACTCTATCAAAAACAGTGCTGACCATCTGCGTCAACGAGCCCTGGGCTATCTGCTGCTCTTGCGACGACTTGGAGTAAATGAAGATGTTGTAAATCTGGCGAACAGCTTTGAGGAGACCCGCTCCGTGTACCACAATCTTGTCATTGAGGACTGCCGCCAAAAGGGACTTGATGATCTGCTGTTGGATTTCAACTGGTGTAGCCTCATTCTCGAAGCATTCGCATATCGCATCAATGGCTCGCTCGATCAAGGGGGGCTGCTCCGGAGTAGCTTCGTTCTCGGAGGTCTTGCTCTCATGGGCCGACGGAAATGCAAAGTAGGAGTAGGTGATCAACTTTCCGATACAGTCAAGCGCAGTGACCTGTAGAGGGATGCTGAATGATTTGGTGGCGAGCTGGAGCGGACGGAATATGACCTCAGGGTCAATCGGCTGGCCGTCGGACTGTTTGACATTGCTGAGCGCGCTTTTGACGGCATCCTCCAATTGTTTGCTCCTGCGGGCCTCCTTGGAAGCACCGATTGCATCCAAGGCACTGACTATAAAGACGGTAGAGCTGAGTGTCACAGAGCGGTGCGTCGCAACTGTGGCAGTGGTGGACCTCGAGTCCGAGCGCATTCTTGTATCCGGGCCAAGCTCATCGCGGGGAGGTATCGAAGCCACATCGTGTCTTTCGGAGGGGGCTTCCTTCTCGACATTGGTAGCGGAATATTCAGGCTGACTCTCGGGAGCTTCGACCTTCAGATTTGATTCAGAGTCATGTTGGACATCGGGATCCTGGGGTACGGCGGCCTCTGTCGGAGTTGCGATTTGGTCGGCTGACTCTGTGTTTGCAGTGAACTCTGGCTCGGTAGATGACTGGATATTTTCTTCGGGTTGATTTGTACCGATCTGTTGACGCTCCGATTCAGCGGGCAGGGTTGGTTTGTCGTGAGGGACGGAGTCGTCGTCCGACTGTGTCAATACAGCAGCAGCAGCAGCCGCATCCTTGTTGTCTGCCTGCGGCACAACCGGGGATGTTTGGGCGGGCTCATTGACAGAGCCGTTTTCGACTTCCGCCATTTATGCAAGACTCCGGTCGGAGTGGTTGAAGATTGATAGAAAAGGGGTCCACATGGGACTAAAGGAGGGACGGGAAAAAGAAACTGCAGGTGGAAAAGAAACGCCAGCCCAACCTTTCGTTTACTAACAAGACATCAAGCAGTTCCGGTGGAATTGCAGCGTGTTCACTCCCGCGGACGACGGAGATACCGTACGGGCGACGTAGTGAGCCACAACCGCGGTGGGCTGCTTAGCTAAGCTGTCTCGGGGCGGCCGGCGATAATCACTCCGGACGGTCTCACCGGTAGCCTCAACAGAAAAGTTCCTGGAGCTGCAGTCCTCAACTCTTCGATACGGGCCCTTTCATCTGCCAGACCAGTCTCTAGGCTCTCTTCCATCCTCCTTCTCTCATTCCCTCCCGTCGCGGGCTCATTTCTCGACCTTTTCATAGCACTTGGGCGCCATGGTTGCCTCTGCTGTCCGGATGCGCACCCCCAGCGCCATGTTTCTCTCCAAAGGCGCCCTTTCTCTGAGGCGGCCGCAGACCGTTCACAGATTCAAGGATCTTGCTCAGTATGTTACTTCGACCCGAATGAGCTTCAAAACGGCCACTAATCACACCTTCTCTTTCTACAGATCTCAATTGCCCTCCCTATCCGCCCTCTCCCGCTACTATGCCTCCAAGTGTATGCCCGCTTACCATCTTTTGTTGATTCTTGTCGCTCCGTTATGTGGCTTCATCGAAAACTGACAAGTAGGACTCAACAGCCTTCCCCCCTCACACCATCATCAGCATGCCCGCTCTGTCGCCGACTATGAACGCCGGTAACATCGGTGCCTGGCAGAAGAAGGCTGGTGATGCTCTCCAGCCTGGTGATGTTTTGGTGGAGATTGAGACCGACAAGGCCCAGATGGACTTTGAGTTCCAAGAAGAGGGTGTCTTGGCCAAGGTTCTGTCGGAGACTGGTGAGAAGGACGTTGCTGTTGGCTCTGTACGTGATTTCCTATGCTCTCTTTGCCACCGGTAGAATCCGGTTCGTGTCGAGGCCGTTGCTAACCGCGCATTAGCCTATCGCCGTGCTGGTCGAGGAGGGTACCGACGTCTCGGCTTTCGAGAGCTTCACCCTGGAGGATGCCGGTAGCGAGAAGCCCGCTGCTGGTGCTGCGGAGAGCAAGTCCGAGTCCAAGGAAGAGGCTGCCCCCGCTTCTTCCACCCCTGAGCCTCAGCCCGCTGCCATCGAGCCTGAGACCTCGGGTGAGAAGCTCCAGCCCGCTCTGGACCGTGAGGCTAACATTAGCCCCGCTGCTAAGGCCCTTGCTCTTGAGAAGGGTGTGCCCATCAAGGCTCTCAAGGGCACTGGACGTGGTGGCCAGATCACCAAGGAGGACGTTGAGAAGTACCAGCCTTCCGTTGCCGCCACCGCCGCTGCCACCTACGAGGACATCCCCCTTACCTCCATGCGCAAGACCATTGCTTCTCGCCTTCAGCAGTCGATGCGCGAGAACCCCCACTACTTTGTCTCCACTACTCTGTCCGTGACCAAGCTTCTCAAGCTCCGCCAGGCTCTCAACGCCTCCGCCGACGGCAAGTACAAGCTTTCCGTCAACGACTTCCTCGTCAAGGCTTGCGCTGCTGCCCTCCTGAAGGTGCCCGCTGTCAACTCCAGCTGGCGTGAGGAGAACGGCCAGGTTGTCATCCGCCAGCACAACACCGCCGACATCAGCGTTGCCGTCGCCACCCCCAACGGCCTTATCACCCCTGTTGTCAAGAACGTCCAGGGTCTTGGCCTGTCCAGCATCTCTAACCAGATCAAGGATCTCGGCAAGCGTGCTCGTGACAACAAGCTCAAGCCCGAGGAGTACCAGGGTGGTACTTTCACCATCAGCAACATGGGCATGAACGCTGCCGTCGAGAGATTCACCGCCGTCATCAACCCCCCTCAGGCCGGTATTCTGGCTGTTGGCACCACCCGCAAGGTTGCCGTCCCCGTTGAGACCGCCGAGGGTACCGCTGTTGAGTGGGATGACCAGATCGTCGTCACCGGTAGCTTCGACCACAAGGTTGTCGATGGTGCCGTTGGTGCTGAGTGGATCAAGGAGTTGAAGAAGGTTGTTGAGAACCCCCTTGAGCTTCTGTTGTAAGCTCTTTCCCGCGAGCGGGAAGTCCGACCGGCCCAGTATTTTAGTTAGCTACGATCGGAGTTACCTTTCCCTTTGATGTTGTTGTAATATGTATTAAAACCATCTGAATCTTTCCACATCCCCTAGACCAAGATGGCCCCCTCCCAGCACAGTTTCATAACCCTTACAATGCATTTCCTATGTTTAGTTCTTAGTGTGGTTCAAAACAGTAGACTTGGTGGTGTTAGGCATGCAGATGTGTATGAAATTGAAAGAAAGGCCGACTGCTGGAGCCGATCTGTCCTCCTCGATTAGCTGTGCCAATTCGCGTGAGCAAGGTAAAACGAAGCGGCAGGTAGCCTCGGAAACATCAAACACACAGAAGCGCAAAAGCGCAGACGCCAGCCATGGGCGAGATCACCGACCGGGCCTTGGCAGCGGGCGCTGTCGCATGAGGTCCGTCTATGACGTGATGTCATTCCCACCCCCCTCCCAGCCATGGCTGCAACCAACCCATAAATACCTTCCGGCTGCCCATTCCCACCCCCTGAAACTTTACTCGAGAATTCTTTCTCTGTAGTACTTTACTCACTCTGAATTGCTTCGCATCTACAACCTGTGCGTCTCGACTCCTATTTGCTGTGCTTTGACCTATCATGGCAGCACTCCCACCTTTCTTCATTGACAGGCAATACTAACGCATGACATCGCAGATCCCTACCACCTTATCACGCAACCACTCTCGTGACACACCACCGGTCATCATGTCTTACGCAGAAGCCGCAGCCAAGGGTCCCAAGCAGTCCCCCGAGGAGGTATGTGCTATTCTTCGTCCGTTCCGTTGTCGCTGTTCCAGCGCAACTGTGTTGATCACTAAATGTACTGACAATGTTTCCAGGCGTAAGTGCATCGACTACGAGCAATCCAAACACCCAGCTCAACAGACCAAGCTAACCCGAGCTTTACAGTCGCGCTCCCGATATTAACCGGGTGTACCGGGATGAATCCGAGAGCACCGCCTCCCTGATCGACGTCGACTCCCCCCACGTGCAGTCCGTGGACGCCGATTTCCTCAACCAGGAGGTCAAGACCACGACGCAGGCCGAGCGGATAGAGCGCGAGGAGCAGGAGGCCATCGCTGAGCGCGAACGGATCGAGAAGGCGAAGGCCAAGGCCAAGGCCGAGGCCAAAGCCAAGGCCAACAGCGTGCGCCGCAACAAGAGCAACCCCGTCTACCTCGGAAATGCGGTCATCCTGGCCCTGACCGGCGCGGGTCTGGGCTTCGGCGCATACAAGAAGCACGCGCAGGGTAAGCTGTCATGGCAGCTCGTCGGATTGTGGTCCGGAATCGTGGGCGCGGTCGGTGCCGTCGACTACTTTGTCAGCAAGTAAGTCGATCTTTTGGCTATACGCCGCTTTATTTTTGCTTGGTGTGTCGTCGCTAACGTGATCGATCAGGTGGCTTTTGCAGAACAAGTACCCTCCTAAATAGATGGGGAAAACGAAAACTCAAGTACTTGTCTTGCGTGGTTTGATAACTTGATATCCTGATGTTTCTTTTGGTTTCTCCTGTGTGGTTTGTTTATAGTTCCATATACCGCACGGATTCGAGGATACATGGCGTTTTTCATGATGTCCAGGCGTTTGTGCTCGGTCGAGATTTAGCTAATTCCATCTCAATCTCATCCATATGCTCTTCTCCGCTTAGCTTTCGGTAATCCCATGCTCGCTGCGATGTTTAGAGTAGATTCTGAACGATGTCAGAAAAGTGAATTAGATTTCAGGATTAGCTTGACAGGGTCCAGTCGTTGATAGACACGTAAGACCAGTTGCGAGCCTGCTGGAAAATTAAAGTTCGAGAATGGACGATCGATGTCGGTTGGACATGCATGGACTTGCATTGGCGGGAGGCGGTCAGCCGTGTCAGAATCGTGGCCTCTGCAAGAACATGTGGCCTTGGCTAGCATCATTATTATTAGCATCATTGAAACGCCTACTCGGTATTTCTTCAGGACACGTCGCTGCTCTCGCACGGCTCATTCAAGCAAGTGCACTGTCATATACTGCTTTCATCACTGCGAAAGGTTCTTTCCACATCGCTTGTACAGGGCTCAAGTGTTTGTTGTTGCGCCGCACATCGTTGTACTAGCCTCTGTATACGACATCGGACACACCGCAAGAAAAGATGGTATGACCCTCACCACGTCAGGTCAAGACGAACGCCGTCCTCCAGTACTGCCTCGGGAGAAAGGGAAATGCCTTTGCTGATTCCATCGAACAGAACTCTCTTTTCAATTCCGCCTTGAAGCAGTCTTCTGCTATCCGCCGCGATCTGGACACATTCTCCCAGTCGCCGGCCACATCGTCCGCCGCGCTACAAGGTGCGATTCTTTCGCTAGATGGGATTATTTCTCAATGCGGAAATTCCGGGCTAACTTGCTGAACCGACAGGTCAAATTGCGGCCTCGCTGGCATCACTATCCCGCACCATCGATGACTACTCGGCCCTGTCGAAGAAAGAGTTGATCCCGGAGAAGCAAGAGAAAGCCTTTGAGCGAGTGAAGAACTTCCGCACCGAGCTTGCAGACTACCGGCTACACTTTGAGCGACTGCGCAAAGAACGAGAAGATGCAGTAAGCGCATCCCTCGACCCTACTCTACATACACGTTTGCTGGGCCGACCGTTGCTAACCACCTCTTTTCTCAATGCAGCAATCCGTAACGAACCGCAACGAGCTCCTCGGCCGACGCCCACACAACACCGCCACCCCCGAAAACCCCTACGCGCAATCCTCTCTGCCCAACCCATCCCCGTTCGGCAACCCGTCCTCGGCCCGATCGGGCCTGGGATTTGGCGGCGGCGCGGCCGACTACACCCGCGAGACTCATGCGCTGCGCGAGCAGAGCTTCCTCGCCAATACCGGTACGCAGCTGGATGAGTTCCTCGATCGGGGTCGCGCCGTCCTGGCGGATTTGGGGCAACAGCGCGAGGTGCTCAAGGGCACGCAGCGTCGACTTTACAGTGTTGCGAACACGTTGGGGGTCAGTGGGGAGACGATTCGCAAGGTGGAGCGGCGGGCGAAGCAGGACAAGTGGATTTTCTGGGCCGGGGTGCTCATCTTCTTCCTCTTCTGCTGGGCGGTACTACACTTTCTGAGGTAGGAAGCCCTTTGTAGAGGAATTGAGATGTACTTCCTGCTGCCATCTGGGGGCACTGTTCTTTTTTTGCTTTTGTGTTACTTGAGGGTTCATTTGGCAAGCGCCGGCGTTGGGCACTGTATTGGTTGAGATATCAATAGCTCCTCTTTTTTCTTTTGTTCTTTCTTTCTTTTTTCTATTTTTTCTTTCTTTCTTTCTCTCCTTGGGAAACGAAGGCATGTACTTTTGTACTTTTGTATACCAGAGATGATCGCGAGATTATCAGATGGCATTTTGGAGTCCAGAGTTGAATTACTAGCGCGATAAGTGGAGAAGCCGGATGGAATCGCGTCGACGAGCGCAACATCCAAGGCTGGCATCACGTCGGCTAAGCCGGAGTAGGATGGAGCACGGGGCAACTTGGAAGGCAACAAAGCAGCAATTGTATTGATCCTTGGCTCTCGGAACAAATGGACAGAGTACAGATAGAATTCAATTCAAGGAAGAATACGGAATACTTAAAGTACTGTATCAAGGATGGAGGCAGACTGGGGAATTCTCCTCCTTGTTGTTGGTGGCTGGCATGAGCATCGGATCCGGCAAGCATTCATTACCTAGTATTGTTGGGTTCCTTTTAGCCGCTCCAACCTGAACCCACCCGGATTTCCCCCCCCCAAAACCAAACCAAACCAAAACCCTTTCCCGTTCCGTCTACTCTCACCGACGCCGCCCTCCCGTCCGTCTCTTCTTCTTCTTCCTTCTTCTCCGTCTCTCCTCCTTCCTTTCTTTCCCCATCTTCTCATTCCTCTTGTATAACCCAGATAGATTATTCTTCTGTCTTCCCCCCACCCCTCACAGTCAAGATGTTCGCTGCTCGTCAGTCCTTCAACCTTTTCCAGAAGCGTAGCTTCTCCGCTTCTTCCAGCCAGGTAAGCTTTAAAAAAATAATAAGAAAAGAAAAACAAACCTTGATGGCTTGCAGCCTCGGCTCTATCATGACCACCGGAACTAATCATCTCAATTGCGAGCTGTAGCTTTCCAAAGTTGCCGTCCTCGGTGCCGCTGGTGGTATTGGCCAGCCTCTCTCCCTCCTCCTCAAGCTCAACCCCCGTGTCACTGAGCTTGCTCTCTACGATATCCGCGGTGGACCTGGTATGTCGCACACCTCAGCTCCCGGTCAACACGGCATCAATTCCATCTCGACCATCGACTCAGAACAAGATCAAGACTGACCATCATCCATTGCAGGTGTCGCCGCTGATCTGAGCCACATCAACACCAACAGCACCGTCACCGGCTACGAGCCCACTGCCTCTGGCCTCCGTGATGCCCTGAAGGGCTCCGAGGTCGTCCTCATCCCTGCCGGTGTTCCCCGCAAGCCCGGCATGACCCGTGACGGTATGCGCTGAAGCCTCGAGCCCAACAAATCCAGGGCACAAAAAAAAAAAAAACAAAACTGATAGCATCATCGCAGACCTGTTCAACACCAACGCCTCCATCGTCCGCGACCTTGCCAAGGCTGCTGCTGAGGCTTCCCCCGAGGCCAACATCCTCGTTATCTCCAACCCCGTATGCATTGACCCCTCCTCGATTCACCCAGCCCCTGTAGATCGGCCATAGGACTCGAGCTAAATCGTTCATCCTCATCTTACCAGGTCAACTCCACCGTCCCCATCGTTGCCGAGGTCTTCAAGTCCAAGGGTGTCTACAACCCCAAGCGTCTCTTCGGTGTCACCACCCTCGACGTGGTCCGTGCCTCCCGCTTCATCTCCCAGGTCAAGAAGACCGACCCCGCCGGCGAGGCCGTCCCTGTTGTCGGTGGTCACTCCGGTGTGACCATCGTCCCCCTCCTCTCCCAGTCCAACCACCCCGAGATCGAGGGTACCACCCGCGACGAGCTCGTCAACCGCATCCAGTTCGGTGGTGACGAGGTCGTCAAGGCCAAGGACGGTGCCGGCTCCGCCACCCTCTCCATGGCCATGGCCGGTGCTCGCTTCGCCGAGTCCCTCCTCCGTGCCTCCCAGGGCGAGAAGGGCATCGTTGAGCCCACCTTCGTCGACTCCCCTCTCTACAAGGACCAGGGTGTTGACTACTTCGCCTCCCTCGTCGAGCTCGGCCCCAACGGTGTTGAGAAGATCAACCCCGTCGGCCCCGTCAACGAGTACGAGCAGAAGCTCGTCGAGACCGCCCTCGGTGACCTCAAGAAGAACATCCAGAAGGGTAAGTTTAATTCATGATCGACCTAGTCTTGCGACCCAGGTGCTAACGGAGTATCACTTTAGGCCGTGACTTCGTTAAGGCTAACCCTTAAATGATCTAATTCTCTCATCTGGAATGATATGAACCAAAAAACCTCTTTTCTGCAGCCACGTTCCTCCTTGTATAACAGTCTAGTCATTCTTCTTTCTCCCCTGTCACGCTAAATATCCTAACCCGCCCATGGCTTTTATATCGGAGGAATGTTGCTGCAGCACCATGGAAGCATGGGTCATCGGGTTTTCCTTTGTGTGTCCCGACGCCTCGAGGGGGACTGTGATGGGGGGAAAATGGACCATGACGTGTATTTTCCCGTTTCTCAATACAGACCAAAATCTATGTTAATGATACTACTCTTATGACATTGATGGGAATCCTGCATGCTGTAAGACTGAGCACGTATTGCGGTAGTGTACGAAGTAGATTCAAAGCCTTTCATACCAGCAGCACAACTGTCTAGCATCACCTCCCGATTCGGAGAGTACAACGGGAGATGGAACACTGCATTACGTCAAAAGCAGGCAATAGATCAATGCTCAAGACAGATCAAATGAATACATGCATGCACACTCGCAAAGAGAATATCGAAATCAAAATCAAATCGTCATTTCCATCATGGCTCATCAGAAAAAAAAAGAACTTCAAATCGACTCCGGACCAAGGATAACTAGGCGATGCGCGCGCGTGTCGTTCATGACTTCGTCGGAAAATTGCATGATCATCAAGCTCTCATCCATCTTGAGATTTCTTCCTCCCCATTCATACCAAGAGAACAACACAAAATCAAGATTTGCACAACATGCTCGAGGGGAGGTATTTCTTTCCAAACGCCAATTTGCTCTTCTTTATCTTAGTCATCGTTGCATTCGTCAGAATCAGGAGTGGAGATGTCAACACAAGTCGTGAGAGATTGAGGTGAATGTTGAAAAGGATCTTGCTGAGCCAAGTCAAGGGACCCAACGGCCGCAAGAAGGTATGAGAGTGTGGGGGTGGAGGGCATCGTTGCCGTGTACGTAGCAGCAGCCTCCTCAGGTATAGCTTCTCATGGCGTCCAGGTATCCCGTTCCACCGCGGAGGTCCTGGTCGAATGTTTCGGCCACGGCAAGGACCCGCTTGATATGCTCCATGGAGAGGGGAGTCTGCTCGTTGACTGCCAGGGCTTGCGCTGTGCGGACGGAGTTCTTTATCTGAAGGGAAGATAGAAGTGTCAGTAGTTGTAACATGGAGACTAACTAGTAGAGCAATGGACTTACCTGGCGTCCGTTCAGGTTGTGGCGGGCAAGGAGATCAAAGTCTTTGTCGGTGAAGGTGGCAGTCTGCACACCGTCCATGGCCTGGACTTTCTCCAAGAACATCTTCCAGACACTGCGCTTGGCCTTGGTGGTGAGGTCGCCGTAGCGGAGCGCCACGTGGATGCGGGATTGAAACGCATCGTCGAAGGTTTCCACGCGGTTAGTCGTCAGGAACAGAATTCCTTGGAAGTACTCCAGGAGACGGAGGAAGATGCTGACCAGGGCATTGCGGTGGATGTCCTGGATGGTGCGCTTCTCCAAGAAAATATCGGCCTCATCGAGCAGGAGGACCGCACCCCAGGAATGGGCAATATCCAAAATCTTGTTGAGCTCGGCTTCCAGCGTGCGCGAGTCGGTTCCCAATTCTCCTGCGCTGACCATGTACAAAGGACGCTTGAGCAGTTCAGCGATGCCTTCTGCTGTGAGCGTCTTACCTGTCCCTGGAGGACCGTGAAGTACGGCGACTAGTCCCTTGCCCTTGCCCTGGATCACATCATCGATGTTTTGGGCAGCTCGGAAGGTGTGGGACTCGACCAGCGCCTTCACAATCGACTTCTGGTTGTCAGGCAGCACCAGAGAACTGAAAGCCTCCTCGTTCCATTCAATCTCACTGACTCCAGAGATACTGAACTCTAGCCACAGCTTCTCGCTAAAGGCGAACCCCAGGACTACTGGGCTCGCGATCAGCAGCTCCTCCTCGGTGAAATCCCGCTCGGAGGGGTCATCCACTTCGTCAATGTCCTCTTTCTGTATCTCGTTACCGTTCTCGTCCAGTTCCACTTCAACCACGTGTGGCTTTCCCTCCTTGTCTCGAACCACCTTATAGCGTGTTCTGGGAGTGTCAGAGTCTCGCGATGGCCCGCAACCCTGATCCGAATCCGAATCCGACACGCCACAGCAGCAACCATCATCGCTCCCGTCTCCGTCCGACCCATCAAGGTAATCCGGATCCTTGGGGCGAACGGTACTGATAGGATAGTTGGGATTGATGCGACGATGAATAGCCGGGTCAATCATGACCCTACCGTTGATGTTGACTTTGATCACAGAGCGCTTCTTCTTGTAGAAACCCATGCCCTTGTGGAAGCGGTAGTTCATGCCACGCAATGCCACGAACTTCTTGCCCCGCTCGATCAGCTTGAGCTTAACTGCCTCCGCCTCGCGATGATATTTCAGCGGATAACAGCCAAGACTGGTGATTTTCCGCGAGCCCTTGAAGGATTCGACCTCCGCAGCCATCGTGCCCATTCCGAACGACTTGCCGTCATATTCCAGATAACGCCCTTCGATGCTGTACCACTGACCTTTCATGAAGGACGATTCTTTGGTAGCGTACTCAATCTTGAAGGCACGGGGCTCATCCACATTCCCGTAAGTGGATGAATAGGCAATCGTGTTGGGCTTGAAGATGGCCCACAGCAGGTCGAAGGTGATCATATTGGCGTCGAGCAGAGGATACAGGGTCTTTTTGGTTTCCGCATAGTCGGTATCCAGATACTTGACGAGCACCTTCAGGTGAGCGGCCTTGAGTTGAGCTGCTTTGCGAGCCTTCTTCTTTCTTTCCGTCTTGGCCAGCTGTCGCAGTTCGCGCATATATTGCCGTGTCTCCTCCAAGTACAGGAAGAGCATGTTGGGATCGACGACCGCCGTTTCCTGTACCAGACTGATACCCTTGACTCCGTCCATCACCTTGGCCAGCGCATCGCGGATGTACTTGCTCTTGAGGTCCACCACCGTCTCCGTATACTTGTTGTCCCAGTCGAATTTGCGGCGTACTGTGAAGAGGTATTGGTCCCACTCGCTGGCACCAGGATCATCGACCGTCTCAGTCAATTTGTAGTTATGGATCGTATTGTCCCATACTAGATTAGCGAACCGTTAGTCAACCGTAACTGTGAGTTTGCTGCTGGAAAGCACCTGCTATGAATGGGGAAGGGTCGCAGCAGCACGTACATTGATCCACCCGCTTGAAAGCTATCTTAGACGCGGCCTTCTTCCGGCCCTTGGACTTCTGTGACGACCCCTTTGAACCATCTGCATCGGTTGACCCCCGCTTTCTGCGTCCTTTACTGCGGCGACCATCAGACAACTTCAGTCGCAAGGCAGCCAACTTCTGCTTTGCCAACAGCAAGGCCAGGTCATCCGAGCCGTCATCCTCGTTGTCATCTTGCTGATCCTCAGACGAGTCCTCCTTGGAGCGAGATTTCTTGGATGATCGCTTGGCCTTGAGCTTGGCGACCAGCTTCTTCAGGGTCTTCTCATCGAGATCGGAATCTGTGTCCTCGCCATCCTGGGATGAAGAATCCGAGTCTGAGTCCGACTGTTGGCGAGAGCGGGTGGACTTCTTCCTGCGACCGCCGCTCTTCAGCGCTTTCTTGGCTCGGGCCTTGCCGCGCTTGCGACGATGCTTGCGATCTACCTTGGATTCGTCGGAGCTAGAGGAGCTAGAGGAGGAAGTGGTGGCATCATTATCTGCGGCGGAATCGTTGGTGGTGGATTCTGAGTCGTTGCTGTCGGAGTCGACAGCAGAGGAGCTGTCATCGCTTGGGGTGACAATGGAGGAGGTTTTGGTGGAGCGACGGGGCTTCTTCTTAGAGTCGGAGGAAGCGGCGGCGGGGGTATGTTTAGCACAGACCGTCGCGGTCTTTTTGGCGGCGGGTTCGGGGGCGGGGACTGGCGGCTTGGCCTCTGCTTTACCCGCATTGGTCTCCGCAGGCGGGTCACAGTCCAGCTTATTAGTGGGACTGGTCGTGGTAGGAGGAGTGGTGGTGGTAGTACCACTGGGAGAAGTAGTATTCGGAGGATCGGGTGGAGGATGATGGTGATGTTGAGTGGTGCTGGTTGGTGCACTTCCTGAATTATCAGCCATGATGAGGATGTTGAGGATGTTGTATTATGATCTATTATGATCTATACTATTCGTGTGGGTCAGTGGGTCAGTGGGTCAGTAGGTCAGTAGAAGCAAATACTGAGTAGCTGTAATGAGAATAAGTGAGAGAGAGAGAGAGAGAGAGAGAGAGAGAGGAAGAGGAAGAGGAAGAGGAAGAGGAAAAGAAAGTGGAAGAGAGAAGAAGAGCAAGAGAGCAAGGGCGTGAGAGAGAGAGAGAGAGAGAGAGAGAGAGAGAGAGAGAGAGAGAGAGAAAGAGAGCGGAAGAAGGTAGGAAAAGAAAACAACGAGAAGGACGAAGCTGACCAGCGAACAAACAAAAGGGCAGGCAGGCTGGCAGGCCGGCCGGGAAGGGCCCGTGGGATGGGCGGTTGATGCCTAAGAAGGCCGCCTTGCGTGCGAACTCACAGAGGGTTCGGTTGTTCAGGTCAGGTTGGTTGGCTCAATTCCCCGTTCTGGCGGTGTGCAAGAGGATCCGGGTGGGAAAAAGGTGAGGCGACAATGCAATTTAAGGGACCTAAAAAAGAAAGGAAAAGGAAAAGAAATTCATATCACCGTGAACAAAGATGGGAAGATGAAAAAGAAAAAATGGAAAGAAAAGAAACGAGATGATCAGCAGGAGCAATTTGGAACCAGGATCATGGGGAAGGAGGAAGGAGGAAGTTACTACTCCGTACTATAAGTGCCTTTCAGTCACGGAGGACAGACTGACAGACTGACAGGCAGGCAAGGCTGGCTGGTAGCACTCAACAGCTGCATCATTTCCAGCCGCAAGCCGGCAGGTAGGCAGCATCCAGGATGACTGACTGATTGACTGATTGACTCAGATGGTGGTGTGAACCACACTGGGACTGCTCCTGCACTGCACCGTGCCATCTTGCAGTCCGTGCAGCGCTTGGAGCTGCAGTGCCAGAAGAGACCCCAATGATCTCCATGAGCTACTGGATCTGAGGTGAGCGGAGCTGAAGAGCCCCAGGCCGTCTGTGCCACTGAACTAGATAGTAAGATTGGAGGAAGTTGTGAAGAAAGCTAGTCAGCAGGATTCATGCTGCATAAAGGTGGACGGAGAGCCCTAATTGACTGCAGTAGTAAGTAGCTCGACAAGAGCTTTTCTGGTGCCATGCCAGGAAACTGCCTACTATACAGACATATAATTTGATATAGCAACTACTCCGGTTACTGGCAGCTATTCATTTTGACAATTTTGTCGGTAGCTACAGCGAATATATACTGTTTATATAAAGTAATCGGCATATGTATGGGTTTGAAGGTTCGAACCTCACATTCATGTCCCTCGACCTTGACTCAGATCCATCACTATGACCACGGTTATCAGCGACGCACATATCGATCCCCAGCGGCGACTTCCAAGATTCATGCAGAGTGGACCCATGAATTTTGGTTTCGAGACCAGCTCAACCCACGCTCCAACATACAAGCAATGTGGTACTCCATCTCCACTACAGCAACACCCTTGTCAAGTCAAATATCTCCTATCCAGATCGAATGAATCCATGAGTTGTGGGTTTAAACCACCTCAACCCACGGTCCAACATACAAGCAATGTAGATACTCCATCCTCACTATGGCGACTGACCTTGAGTCAAATGCCTCCTAGCACATGTAACCCTTACATAGCTTTCCTTGGGATCAAATGACCATCAACGATGCCAGAAAACATTCATCCTCCGCGACGGATGTCATGATCCCACAACAAGTAAACCATGAATATGATCCCAACCCAAGCCCCAGCATACAAGCAATGTAAACACCCCATCTCCCTGAAGCAACTGCCCCTTAAGCCGAGTCCCTCTACCCAGCCCACGTAACACTCAAATCCCCTCCCTCAGGACCCGAGTGACCGACCATCACCTGCAAAAACCAGATATCGTCCCCAGCGACGAGGGTCGTGACTAAGAAGAGAGAAGCCAGTGAAAGATGAGCCATGTGAATGAGAGAAGCCCACACCCACACCCACACCCACCCAGCCTAAGGACCCCCAAGAGTGAATTCTCAGTTGAAAAGTGACAGAAAGCCCTTATTGCCTGTTCGCCGAGTTTAAACCCTGAATCCATTCCCACACACTCCCACAACCACACACTCACCTCCCACTCAACCACTCTCTTTTCATCCCATCAACATCTCTTCGCCTAAGAACCCAACCACCACACCAAGACACTCAGCGAGTTCGCCACGCAAACAAGACACAGACACCACGATGAAGACCGAGACCGAGTCACCTCCCCCGGACCAGGAGGGTTCGTCCCCCTCGTCTGGGTTTACGCCCATCAACCGGAGAAGCGTGGACAAGAGTGAGGCGAGTGTTGGCGTAAGTGTTCTGCAACGTTCAATACCACCATGACTATGGCCGTGACATGACCATTACCATGAAACCCGAGCCCTCGTCACGATGACAACCAACCAAGCACCTCAGCACAAATCCCACAGACACGAGAAACCAGAAACGACGAGAAACCTCACTAACCAAAAACCCAGACCACCCGCAAGCGCAGCATTCAATCCCGCTCTCCATCCCCCAGCCCAGGAGCGCCAGCGCCAGCGCCAGCGCCCAAGAAACCCAAAACCGAGCCCTCGGCATCCCTCTCCTCCCTCTCCTCCTCCTCATCCCCACCCACCGACTCCAGCGAAGAATACAAGCAGGAAGAAGAGGACGAGGACGAGGACGAGGACGAGAACCTCACAAGCACAAGCTCCACAACCTCAAAGTCCAAGCCCAAGCCCAAGCCCACGCCCAAAACCAAATCCAACCCCAAGGCTAAGTCCAAATCCACCCCCAAGAAGCAGCAGCCATCCAACACCACCATCCCCAAAAAACAAACCCCCACCAAAACCCCAGCAGCAGCAGCAGCAGCAAGAGAGGAACCAACAACACCCACGCCCAGCAAATCCCCCAAAACCAAACTCCCCCCGATCCCCACCAGCCTCGCAACCGCCACCCCAGCCGACCGCCTCATCCTCACCATGCGCGACGACGGGCAAAGCACCTGGCGCGACATCAACACCGCCTGGAAGAACATCACCCAGCTGACCGTGGGCGCGTCGACGCTGCGCATGCGCTACAATGCCATGAAGGCGAATTTCTCGAAGATGAGTCCGGAGGATGTACGCCGCCCCCTTGCCCCACACCCACACCCACACTTCCTCAGAAAAAGAAAACGTTATTGGGGGTATGCTTATGCTGACTTGCTACGTAAACGTTCAGGAAGAACTATTCCGGCGCACGAAGGAGGCCGTCGAGACCAAGTTCGCGCAGGAGAAGTGGCGGATGATTGCGGAGCAGATGGAGAGTACTAGTGGCCATGGGAGGAAGTTCCCGGCGGCGACGTTGGTGAAGAAGTGGAAGGAGTTGGAGAGGGTGAAGCTGGGGAAGGGGCAGGCTGTTGGTGCTGGTGCTGCGCACATGGCGGTGGGTAAGAATACGACTTCTTTTTCGTCGTCGTCGTCGTATCTGTCTTCCGGGGGTGCTGGGGATGGGGATGATGAGGATGATTTTGAGGAAGAGGATGGTGCTGGGGATGAAGAAGAGGTGGTGTAAGTGATGCTTCTACTTCCATTTCAGGTTCAGAGGATGGACTTCTCTCGTCTCATCCGAAGTTGCGAGGGAGGTGTTCGTATCTAACTTCAAAGTTAAGGGGGGGGGAGTTCTACTTGTGTCTTTCTTCGGCGTTTTCTGCTTATCGCGTGGTTGATATGGGATTTGAAGGGGAGGTGAGATCTCTGGAAACATGACGAAAACGATTTCTTTCCCGCCTTGACTACTTTTCTGCCTGCATGGTTTGCTTTCCTTCTACTAGCACAAGCATACGAAATCAGTGCTCACTTGCCTACTTGTCTCTCTTCTTCCTCCAATCACATAAAATCCATCATTCATTCAAAGAAACTAAGGCTCCAAACCAACAACTGAATAAGACCCACCTATCCCAAAACACAAACACCCGCCATGCCGAATCCCATCATCAAAGCAATATCCACGGAAGAGCAGTGAAGAATAGTATGGGGAAATCATGTTGTACCAGACAAGCTCAACCAGACAAAACTCAGAAACTCATCATCTCCAGACGCCCATCATGCAGTCGCCCATCATGCAGTCGTCCATCCAAATCGCCATGACCCATCCCATGCCCGCCCAGATCTTTCATGTACTCGTCACTGTCGGCGCGGGCCACAATCGCCGGCCGGATCTTCGTGCCCACGAACCCCCGCCGGTCGCGGCCGGTGCGCCCCCGGCCCAGCCAGTTGTGCTTCAGATCCTTGCCGAGCGTCTCGACCTGCTCCTGGGCCTTGTCGCCAGTCTGCACGCTGGCCAGGACGCTGACGCACTGCAGCATGCGGCCGACGGTCTCGGTGATGATATGCGAGGTGTCGGCTGCCGCGTTGGCCCGGTGGATGATGCTCGGGCGCTGGGGCGGCGAGGAGAGAGACTGAAAGATCAGCTGGTCGGGGTTGGAGGAGGTGTTGGAGGCGGCGCGGCTGCGACTGCTGCTGCTGTTGTTGATGTTGCTATTGTGGCCGAGCAACGAGTCGGAGGAGTAGCTCCCCGACTGGGCGTTGAGGAGCGTCGAGGACTGGGAGCTGTAGCTGCCAAAGCCGGCGCCGGCACCGCCGCCGTCAAGCGAGGCAGCGGTGGGAGGCCGTCCGCCACTGGTGGAACTGCTCTTGGTGGTGACGCTGAGCGCCGCCGTGCCGAGCTTGATGCTGTCGAGACTCAGGCGTGAAAATGTCGACTTCAGATTTTCGTAGCGACGCAGGATGATTCGGTCGCGGAAGGCGACAAGAACCAGATTGCGCACATCCAGCTCACAGCCAGGGTACTCGGCATTGCGTGCGGACCCCCAGAATTCACTGGCTTCACGCCGATTCATCACAGACCCACAGCCCTTGATTTCCAGGTCGAGAGGCAAGAACACGGCCTGAATGAAAGGCAAGATTGTACCGAACACGAGCATCCATACCTGCACGAGGTGCGGCACCAGCTTCTCATCCGGCACCCCGTTCAAGGTATGGTTCAGCGAAGCGAATCCGGTCTCCAGCAGTTCCCTCAGGTCGTCGACCACCGCCGCCGGAGTGCGCTTCTGCACACATCGCTGGATATGGACGAGAACCAGCTTGTTGAGATCCTCAATCGCAATGCGCACGTCCTCCCCGTCGAAAATCACCATCAGTTTCGCCTTCAGAAAGTCCCAAGCGTCCTCCGGCGTCATGTTATTCAGGCCGAACCCTTGGAGAGTCTCCCGCAACGCAGCCTCGGCGATCAGTCCGGAGGAACTGCCCAAAGACGACGGCCCGGGGAAGACAGCCGGCGACCCTCCGGGCCCCTGTGAACTAGTTGCCCAATCCATCTGCTCCGATTCCGCCTGCGCCTGCGCCTGCGCCTGCGCCTGCGCCTGCGCCTGAGCTTGCGCTTTCTCCTCTTTCTTCTTCTCACGAAGGCCATGCAGCAGATCCAGCCCACTCACCGACTTGCCGAAGGTCGTGCTGGTGGCTCCCGGTGACGCGGGGGTAAACGAGTATAGGGACTGCGGTGCATTGGGGTCTGACGGCTTCGAATTACTCGACGCGGACGATAGCGGGAGGTTGTAGTGATCGTCGCGATCCTTCAGCTTCAGCTTCTGGCGCGACAGGAAATGGTGTTTGTGTTTCTCCTTGTCCTTGTCCTTCTCTTTCTCGCTCCCCGTCGGCCGATCCGCCGGCACGACGGTGCTCGCGGACGCATTCGACAGGTTGTACATGGACGAATTGTTCGACGGGAAGGTCTCCGCCAAGCTGGTGGTCGAAGCGCTGACGATCCGGGACAAGCCCCCACTGGGAAACCCCATCTTGCTTGGCGAGGGCAGGCCCCTTTCCTTCCCCGTCCCGTCCTTGTCGCGACTGATGCCGATGTGCTTGGGTTTCGAGAAGAGCTTCATCTTCGACTTCTCGCCCTTGTGTTTGTGTTCGCGCTCCTGGGGGATCTCAAGCCCAAGCCCGGGGGGCTGGAGCCCTGGATTTCGGGGGAATACCACGTTGGCCGCTGTCGTGGCAGCATGGGCGTGTCCAGCCGCGGTGCTGGTGCTGCCGCTGCCATTTGCGTAGGATGGCTGCCCGGCTGATGCGCCAGTCGCGCCGGCTGCTGTCGAACCGGGGGGTGCGAAGGTCGGGGGAGGGGGAGGCGGGGGAGGGGGCGAGATGCTGCCGCCGCGTCGGGAACGGGAGCCGTCTTCGGAGACCCCTCGTACGGTCGCGGGTCGTTTCACGGGATGTTGAAGATTGTTAGGTTGTGTGTGTTGTTTTTGAGGATGTTGTTGATGTTGGTGCGACTGTTGTTGCTGTTGCTGTTGCTGCTGCTGCTGCTGCTGCTGCTGCTGCTGTTGTTGAAGCATGGCCGTCTGGGCCGCGATACGAGAAGCTGACAAAGAGGCCTCGGTGGAAGAAGCGGTAGGGAGCGATGGTTCAAAGAAACCCTGGGAGTGGTGACGAGAGCGTCGCTGCAGCTCAGCCGGGACGACCCGTCCCGAAGGCTTTCGACTCAGGATCTCATTATGCGGCATGAAGGAGACGGGAGATCGCGCAGATGAGGTGGTGTAGGTAGTAGTGGTAGTGGTAGTAGAGGCAGTAGAAGCGGAGGTGAGATTGGCGGTGTTGAGCGAGGAGATACGCGGTGGCCGCGGCGAGGCAGAGGCAGAGGCAGAGGCAGTGCCAGGCGGCAGCGGGAAATTGGATTGCTGAGGCGAGATGGTGGTCACATTGGAGATCATCGACGAGGCATCACTTCCAGAGGAGCCAGGACGGGTGTAGAAAGTGTAGGAGTAGGAATCGTCAAAGGAACGTCGAGGAAGAGGAGGGATGGGAGGGGGAGGACTCTGAGAAGCAGGAGGGGGAGGAATCGGAGACCGCGTCCCTCTCTCTGGAGAAACCGGCGAGCGCAACATTGTGAGTGAGTGAGTGAGTGAGTGTACAGTACAGTACTACTACCTGGACTCCATGATCTGACAATAAGAGAAAGTAAGAAGGAATGAAGGTATGGAGTTACTTAATCGATTGCAGAATTGGATTTCTGCCCCAGTCTCGTTTTGCCTGGACTTGGAGAGAAGATCAGCAACCATTGAACCATTGAACCATTGATCGGATTGATAGATTAATACCGGCTGTCGATCTCCTCCTGAAACCTGAAACTTTACCTACTGAACCCTCCCTTCCTTTTCCTTCCCTTCCAGTTCCAGCCCGGTTCAATCCCTCCCCCCCCCAACTTTCCGCTTTTCCTCAACATTCATTCCCTCAGCTCTCTACTCCGTACTCAGTATCTTTTTCTCCAACACCTCACCCTCCTCCCCTCTCTCAAAACGAAAACTACACCACCACGCAAAGTCCACAACCCAAACCCAATCCCTCAAACCAAAAACCCGAAAAATCCAAACCCAAACCATGTCCTCCACAACCCCCACCACCACCACCACGAAGCTCCAAGCAATCTACACGGCCCCCCACCAACAATCCCAAACCTTCACGCAACCCATCGCCGCCCCTCTCCCTGCTACCTCCCCATCTGCCTCAACCGATCCCGCCCACATCCAAACCAAAATAACCTACCTCGCCGAACTCCGCAAACAGGTCCCGGCCCTGCAAAACGAGATCAACATCTTTCTGACGGAGAAAATGGAAGAGGACAAACGGGCCGCCGACGGCCAACTCTCCGAGAAGGAAGCCAAGGAGGAAGCCAATTACGGCGAGGAGGTTGTGGATGAGGAGGAGGATGCTTGAGGGGTGCACGTGCACATAGAAAACAGGACCTATCATCCCACCGACCAGAAACATGTTTGTGAGCGCGCGGGGCTGAAAGGTGCCCAACTACAATTGCGTCGCTGAACTACGCTATCGACAAATTAGGGCTTACGTGGATGTGTGGCCGTGAACGGGAATACATGATGATGATGAGGATGAGATTGAACACTTTCAGGGAGGTTTCAGGGAGGCTATGACGTGATATGATTCGAAAAAAAGGAAAGATGCAAAATATGAAAGAGATCGCTATCCCCCCCGGGTATCATCGTGCAGGAAGCGTCCGCCCCACTCCAAAATGGCAAATATGTGAACAAGGAGATCACGAAGAGAAAAAAAAAAAAAAAGAGGCAGGAAAAGAAAAGACGGAACGCAAATATACGATACCACAAGAAACAAGACCATGACTTCTATTTACAACGACACTGACATCAACATCATGAAAGTGACCGCTTGCGGTTGGCGCAACCAAGATGGACAACGGTATTACTGCGGCGCAAGTCAGCAACCAATTTTTTTTTCCAAAAAAAATAAAGGGAAAGAAAATGACGTACTCTGGATACACGTTGATCACACTGCCCCCGATCCGCTTGTGGCAGATCCCGCACACCCTCTCTTCGGTAATGGTGACATGTCGGGATCTCGACCGCTTGGGATCCGTCCCCTCACCCACCAGCAGCTGGGCTTGGGTCTTGATGTTCTCGGCTTTCTGCAGGCTCGCCACGATCCGGCTCTCGTTGAGGATCGAGTTGGCGGCGCGCATGCGACCCTTGAAGTAGAAGTCGAGCTCCTTCACCGGGAGGGTTTCGGGGATCAGGTCCAGCGCGGACCCGGGAGGCAGGCGGGACCCGTGCTTGGCCAGCACTTCGAGCGCTGGCCCATATCGTGGCTTGTATCCGTGGGGCGGGGTTAGATAGAGTGCTAGGAGAGTCAAATAGATCGACGGCTTGTCTTCTTCGTAAGCCAGCAGAGCCACACAAGGCCCGCCTTCTTCGGTAGACGCTATATCGTCCTGTTTGTGGAGATGGTTGCAGTATCTGTGAGAAAGTTAGCCGTGGGGATGATTCACTCTACCTCAGTGATCACCTACTCCTCAGCCTTAGCATAGTCCTCCAGCTTGAACACGTAGATCTCCAGCGCCTGCTTGTGTTGCCCCATCTTGCTGAACACGATTGCTCGCGCTTCGAACAATTCGGGATCTAGGGAAAGGCAAGTCAGCGGATAAGGATGGTGAGAGACAAGAAGCCGACATACCGTCGCGGTCCAGGCGGTTTAGAATCTTGGCTGGCGAGTACTGCGTGCTCGACCTGAGCATGGTGAGGAACTTGGTTCGCCACGCGACGTGGTCATCTTCGCTAGCGAATTCCCACTCCTTGTTTCTGTACTTCTTCAGACGGTCCAGGTAGAAATTGAGCAGCTGCTGATGTAGATCCGGCGACATGTCGTTCAGCTCGCCGATGACATGTTCCAGGTATTGCACGGCCAGATTAACATCGATGCCCCGCAAAAAGTCCAGCACGCGATGCCGGGGCAGAGTCTCTGCGTTCTCCGTGTCCGCCAGAAAGACCTCCATGCCCAATTCGGGGTCCTCCCGCAGTGGCCATTCGGCGAACTCGAGGATGAGGTCGATCCGGTCCGGCGGGAGATTCTGTAGGTAGACGACCGTTCTCTTGGGACCGTGCAGCTGCGGAGCGGTCTCCTCTTCCTCCTCCGCCTGACCGAACCGCTGGAGCAGCTCCAGCGCCTGGCGGTGCAGTTTTTTGCCGTACAGGAAATCGATCAGGTCGTTGTGCCGGCCGGTCTCCTCGAGCCTCTCCATGACCACGTCCGGGTCGCAGAAGTTCGCGATCCGGAAGAGAGACCCCGCCAGAGCAGGGATCGCATACATATACGCTCGGAAGAGGGTGGTGTCGACGAGTTTGGCCTTCTCGCGAATCTTCTCCCCGAACTCGGGATCCTGAATATCCTTGGTGCTGGTCTCGAGCAATTTCATCACAGAATCGGTCAGTTCATCTGTGGCTGCGTCCGCCGGCAGATCGAACACCTTCAGTGACCCATCGGGGTTGAGGAAGCGCTGGAACCGCCGACGGACATCGGCCAGGTACCTCTGCAGCTCACGAACCGCCAACTTGAGATCATTTCCTTCGAGGGCCTTGTCGGGCTTGGCGTCTTCGGTCATCCTCGTCCGGATACTGGCCGCATCGTCGAATGTCTCCGTCTTGGACCGCAGCAGCGACATGACCGACGGGGCGTGCGAGAGCGTCTTGGCCGTGGCCGCAACAGCAGCATCCGCCGTGTGATTGCCATCCACCTGTTTCTGGTTGTCGGGGGTCTTGGACGGGCTCTCGGTGGCGCTGTCTTCGGATTCCTCTTGCTCCTCGGGGACCGACGATAGCTCTCCCGCCACGATCTTGGGATAGAGCCTGATCACCGTTTCCGGTGGCGCAGAGATCTCGGTGAATATATCCATCGCGTCCGCATATTTCCGGAGTCGAAACAGCCCTTCCGCTTTCTCGAGTTTGATCGCACGTAGCCGGCCCTGCTTATCCCTCAAGAGCGCATCCTCCAGCATGCTTGTCAGACTCACGGCCTCGTCCAGGTAGCCCTTCTCCACCAGCGAGTCAATCTGAGTATCGTAGCTCAGCGCTTCCATGCGCCAGATCGTGCGCTCGCTCGCCACCAGGAACCCCTTGCCCGCATGGGCCAAGCTGATCGTCGGCTGGGGGATATGCAGGATATTGGCGGACGGCAGTGGAACCGACTGGAGTAGCGACAGCGTCTCCGGATTGCGCACCTCTAGCACCCCCTTGGACGCGTCATGCAGGGCGAGCAGAAACGGATACGAGTACCCGATATCCGCCGGCGCATGGCTCCAGGGGATCTGTCGCCTCCCCAGCGACGCGCCATTGATATCGATGAACTGGGTATTGATATCTTTCGCCAACAGCACCTGGCCCTCGGACAACCTCGTCGCCAGAGGCTTGGGGGCCGACCCACCAATGCCGATATAACTCATACTGGCGACTCCGACCCCCGTCAACCGGCCGGTTTCCTGGCCACCCAACCCGCCGATACTCCCGGGGCCGACCAAGTCCGTCACGCTGGCCGTCTCGATATCAACCATCACGAAGCTGGACCCCAGCCCGGCCACCAACCTCGTCCCGGACACCCACGTCAGCGTCTTGATGCCACTGACCAGCGTCATCTCCACCACCTCACCCTCGACCTCCATATCGCGCCACACCCACAGCAAGACCTTGCGCTTCACCGCCACCGCCAGCCGCGACACGATCGACGGCACCCCGGTCTCGGAGTCATTGACGATATTCGACGTCACCGCAAAGGTCGACGCCCCCTTCGTGCGGGTCATCTGCTCCTGCAGCGCATACGTCTGCAGATCATGGATCGAGACATACCCGCCCGACAACGAGACCAGCAACTTGGCCTCCTTGATCAGAGCCAACTGCTCCACCTTGTACCGGGAGAACTTCTCGACCTCGCGCAGAAGATCCGTCTGTTTCAGTTTGACCGGCACATGTGGTGTGGCTGCTGGAGCAGCATTCACCTTCGCATGATCTGCAGCATTGGCCGCTGGATTCGCATTCTCCGCTCCACCACCCTCAGCATCACGAGCGGGTACCGTCTTCGCACCAACACCCCCATTAACATTATTCCCAAGCGCACCACCATCCCCATGATTCCCCTGAGTACCATCCTGATGCCCATTCATCCCCTCATCACCATCCGCAGCCTCCTTCTCCACCTCATTCACCCGATACACCCGTAAACTCCCATTGTTCAATCCCACGAGCACCCGGTCCCCGTACGCGAGAACGGACTCGATGCGCGATCGATCGCGCGGTTTGAACTCGACGAGCGGTCGAGCGGTGAAGGCGGATAACATGGTTTGGGCCCAAGGTTCCTTCGGACCCCCTTTGGGAGAAAAAAAAACCGTCCGAGGGGTCGTCGGGTTTCGGGTTCGGGGTGTTGGTGAAGGGATGGAGGGGGAGTTCGGGCGCTAGAAACCACAAAAGGGAAAGAGAAGTCGGCTGTTGGCGGGTCGCGTTGTTGAGTTGTCGCCCGAGGGTTGGGGGTTTGCGGTGTGAACGTCGAGGCGAGTCGAGTCGGGGGTCGACGGTGGTTTCTCGGGGTAAGGTACTAGTATGTGTAGCGTGGGATGAGGGCTCGGGTTTGCGTAGCACCTGTCTCTATTTTATGTTTTCTCTATCTTGCTTTCGAGCCGGAAGGAGGGGGAGGCATGTCCGGTGCTTCTCGGTGGAAGTTTGAGGGCTGAAAGAGGGAGGAGGGGAGTGGTGAATCAGCGGGCCGAGGTGATCACAGCCATGATATGTTGAGGTGGTTGGTAGTCGAAGGGTTGCTGGGTGTGTAGTAGGAGATAAGATGGGGAGTCGCTTGTGGCTGAGGACAGCGTTCAATGAGCCGTCTTATTGTAAAAAATGATATGTGAATCGTGTTGTGCAGGGAGTAAATGATTAGACAAGAGAGAGGTTCGGTTGTATAGGTGAAGCTGCCCGGCCGCATGGAATCCGGACCTGCCAAGTCCACTACGGCGAGCTACAGCTGCCATTGGATGAAAGCACCCAAAGCCATCCATGATGTCTTGAACTTGACGCAGGTCGTTTATACATATCTTGATGCAATTGGAGCTTTGGTGAACCAGACATTGCTCAACTTCAGACACATACCATGTATTGTATAAGGAGTTTTCCATAATCAATTGAAAGACTTGACAGAAATGGGTGTCGATGTCGGGTCTCAGGTATCTATCTAACTTATCGCTTCCGTCATCGACGGCCTGAGGCTTTATCTACCGCTCACCGCTGGCCATCCTCACCTCCGGCCGGGCTTGAGCTTGTCCGCCATTGGCGCATGCTGCTCAGAAACCCACCACTAAGTAGACCCACCAGGCCACGACAGAGAGAAAGAGCCAAAAAAGAGCAGAAAAAAAAATATGTTGGGACGAGCCGGGCTTGAACCGGCCACCTTCAGATTAATGGCCGAAGTTGGTACTTCAGTCTGACGCGCTCCCAGATGCGCCATCGTCCCAGAATTGATGCATTATACTCATTTCTTCTGGCTATGATAGAGCATTGAAAGATTGACTCTAAGAGCTGCGCCCCTGCCCCGTTGGTTGGAATGTCATAGTCCATGCTTTCCTGCGAGCAAGTCGTGAGAAAGAAAGAGGTAAAGTCAATCTTAGGATGAAGAGACACGTGTAAGATCTTTGAAAAGATTGATCTTATTGCTTCTGTGTCTGGCATTGATCACAGCCAAGCTACCTAATAGCCCCACGCCATGACCTTGGGGTATCGCCACTGACAGGTGAACGTTGTTGGCAATAGAAAGTCCACAAGGGTTGCAACCAATGTGAAGAAGAGGTGCAGACCCAAACCTACCTCAAATAACTGAACCAGCGCCCCAAATCTTTCTGAAAACAGATGGAAAAGTCACAAGAGAGGAATGAAAGAGCAATTATGTAAACTGTACAATAAGAATGTTTGGTAAAGACTGGCAGGAATCGATCAACCCAGGTTATGCCCAACCAGCATGCATGTTTTCAATAAGCGCCCCGATATGTGCAGATGAAGAGTAAACTAAGTCTCGTTAATTCTATTTTGTGCCTTGTAAAATATGCTCACGCCTTGGTTTCCGTGGAGTATTCCTGGTGCTTGGCCGACGTGCCCTTAGCACGCCAGGTCGACACGGCGGGAATATCAGCCTTGAACCGTTGTTCCTCCGTACCATAGGCACGCGGGGTAAGTTTGATAAGTGTGTGGAGGGGGACCTCCATCCAGGGACTCTGCTCCTGGGGTGTGTTGAGGAAGTAGGCGTAAATGCAGCGCAATACAGCCTGGTGCGTCACAATGATCACGTTCTCACTGCGCTCCAGCTCCATGATAATGGGCTCCAAGCGAATGACAACATCGCGATACGATTCGCCACCCCGGTAGCGGTAGTTGTACTTGTCTTCGTCGCGGGCGGCGAAATCCTCGGGGTACTTCTCCGCAATTTGCTCGTAGGTCAATCCGTCACAGACTCCCGAGTCAAGTTCGTCCAGAGCCTTCCACTCCAGTTTCTCGAAGCCAGTTTCCGCAGCCAGGTGACGTGCTGTCTGGATGGTACGTTTTAACGTGGATGTCCAGATCACGATCTTCGTGTTGGGCGGTACACCGGACTTCTTCAGTAGACCAGGTAGAGCTTTGGCATAAGCCTCTCCACGTTCAGAGATGTTGGAGTCCCCTCCAATCTTTCCAGTCAAGTTGTATTCCGACTCTCCGTGCTAGAGGGTGATGAGTACAGGTGCGTAGATGCATGCATGGTCAGACTTACGCGAGATAACCAAATCGAGCGAGGCTTGATGTGGAGGTTCTGGATGTAGTAGACCAGTCGGCTAGACAAATAGTCCTTGATCTGGTTAATGATGACGGTAGAGCCAACGTTGATGAGTTTTACATAGGTGTAGCTCTTCTCGCCGTCATCAATGGTCTCGTAGACTTTCTCGTAGTTGCGGATCCGCTCGCGGAAATCCCGGGCAGCAACCTCCGGGTCCTGCCCCTTGTAGTCCGGCGAGGTCGTCTTGACCTCGAGGATGTTGTTCATAATCAGGTCCTCCTCGTCACATATCGACTCGACGTACAACGTCTCGATGTTAGCTTCTCGGCAGCGCTCATTGATCCAGCGGCGGCGCTCTTTCGTCGAGTTCGTCGCATCGAGGATCGCGACCACTCCCTTGCCAGCATCGAACCACTGAATCATATCTGTGATGGCAGCATCGGCCGCGGCACGGCGCATCTTCTCGCCCTCCTCGTTGTGGGGGTCAAAGAACGTGGCGCTTGGCTGCGGTGTGCCCTGTCGGCGATAGGTGCCGACATTGAACACGCGTGCAGGAATACCAACCCAAGCGAGGTATCTCATAGCTGGTCATGATGTCAGTTATCTCCACACCGGACATGGGAACTTGATTACTCAACGCACCTTTGCCAGCTATGAGACTCTTGCCTCTAGCTGGGAGGCCAACCATGACCACACATATTTTCGACTCATCTGACTATCAATAGGCAAATAAGCATCCAAGGCAAGACATAGAAAGTCGCAGACGACGCCATGTTTAAGAATTGTGTGGCAGAAAATAGCAATGGGGTGGGTGGGTGGCGAGCTGCGACAACCCGCCGGAACTCAGCATTATGTCCCCAGCGGGCATTTTAAGGGGATAAGTCTTTAATAAGAAAAAGCCAGCATGACACTGGCCTTGTGTCACACACCACAAGCCAGACACATTGCGACGTCGTTTGCAAGCTCCAAAAGAAAAAGCAGAGGAAAAGATATATTAAAGGTTGCGGCCAATCAAGGCACGTGCAGTGCAAACACCCGATGAACAAAAAGCATGGCAACTTACGCTGGCGAAGTAGTGAGTCTTGCCGTGGCCATTGTCTCGACGAATTAAACCCGACGACATGGTTCCAATTGACTATTGAATCTGAAGTAATTGTGCAAGCAAACGGAGGGAGAGGAAAAGAATCCAGGAACTCGGCCACCAGGGATGTCCGATCGCGGACAAAAGGAGCAGGAGGACTAAAGGTGTGAGAGAGAGAGAGTGTGTGTGTGTGGGTGTAACTCTGTAGTACTCCGTATATAGAAACCTTTTTTTTTCTCTTGGCTTGACTTGTAGATGTGCTGTTGGAAGTTGTCGCTAACCACTAAGAAGCGGACAGGTCCGGCTGTCTCACGAGAGGGGATCTTTGGTAGGGAAAAGGATAGCAGTGGTGAGTACGGAGTGTAGAAGCAGGAGTAGTAAATTGATCAACAGATGACTCTGGTTGGATGGGCATTGAAACCCAACGGGGGGGGGGGGCGCGGTCGATGCGGTGAAGAGAGTTGAAAGAAGACAGTCAGTCAGTCAGTCAGTCGCAAAGTGTGAGGAAGAGCACAGACGTCATGCCGCGGGGCAGTTGCCGGCGGCGCTGTGGGTTGGTTATTAGTGATGATTGTCTAGGCAATGATGATTCAATAGTAGAGTCAGTAGTTGTAAGAATAGGAGGTAGACCCTGTTCTGGGTTTCCTCCACGCAAAATGATGAACTTTTTGGTGCAGAAGTGCGCTTGAAGCAGCTGAGCCCTCCAAATTGTATGGTAAAGGGATAAATATTATATATAATATTCAGAAATAAAAGAAATAAAAGCAATCACGACCGGCGCACTTGACTTCTGACTAGACCACTGTAAGTTACGATAAATGATCTGGCAGTGATTTCCGTCTCCCTCCCCGGCCGGTCCCCTTTTCCCCGGTCGGATTGTCCAGTCGGCTCGCACGTGACCCCATTGCGTTTTCGTGTCGGGTAAAATCGTAACCGTCTGTTGCAAATGGGCTGGCTCAGAGATGAGTGAATTACCCGACTAGGACAAAAGTGACTCACGGTCGCCTGACTTGCGCGGTTTTTCTTCGCTATTTTTGAGGCGTTGAGGCGTGAAGTTGCAGGTCTGGCCATCATGCCTCGCCTCATGTCTGCCGATCGGGATTCCGTCCCTTGCATTGCCTGCTGGTGGGACTGGGGATGACAGCCTGGAGCGCCAATTGTCCATCGGTCCCCTGCCTATCAGTATCGTCCCATTCCTGAAGTATTGATCCCCACGCGTCCGACGACGGAGGCTTATGAATCTACGTGTACTGAGGACGGTAGGTCCATACCATCAATTTAGGCTTCGGGAAGAACGAAGATCATGGATTTATCCGCTAGTCAAATTACTAGCTACAGAGCAAATACTCATACATGAAAGAGAACCTGGTCGGTAATATTCCTTAGATTAAGCTAATCTCAGCCCTAAAATAACTCCGTTTTGGTCGACTCTATCGTCATTAGATCTGGGAAACCTTCCCGTTTTTAGAATTTTGGTGCCTTTTCTGTGCCTCGGATCTGCACCAGGATTTGGGGAGCCTCAAAAGACGGAAAACCAATACCCCTCAACAGAGATGCTTTCGGGGGAGCGAGAACGTCGGGGGGAGAGCGCGGCTTTCTTCCAGCGACGGTGGCTGTGGTTTTGTGGTTTTCTTCTTCTGATAGGCTGCCCCCCTAGCCATGGGTTGAGGATCAGACGTAGTAGAACGAGGCAGAGAATGGAGGTCATGAATCTCTTGTGGGAGAGTGTCGGGGTGAGAAAAAAAAATCACCCCCTCCCTTTTTATGTTTTGTCGTAACAAACGTCAAGCATGTACTTTTGGCTTTGAGAGGGTATGCAGGAACTTTTTTTTTCGTGTCGTGAGAAGGGTTGTCCGGATCAGCCGTATAGCTGGGGAAGCACAACTATACGCCGACCGCAACCTCAGCAACAGCATTGGCATCGCCAAGAGCAGGGATTGCTGCATCATCCCGGCTAGACGGCCACTTGGGACGTCTCTCCTGGGTGTTGGTTTCGCCACGAGCTCTCTGGACCCGCAGCATGGAGCCCCAGGGACCCTCCTGGCGGTGCAGAGCGCCCATGGCGTTCTCAGCCTCATCGACGCTGTCGAAATCGACAAAGAGGTAGTAGTGGTCACCGGGCTCAAACCGCTTGGCGGGGTGAGGGGCGAACTGCTTGCTGACGTTCTCACTATCAGGCGACGTTAGTTTTGTACATAATCGAGTGCTGTAGGGCTAGCCTTACACATTGTATCCCTTGAAGAAATTGCGGATGTTGATGTTGAGAGCGTCCTGATCGGTCAACTTGGGGAGACCACCGACGTAGAGACGGCGGCTGGCATCGTTGTTGACGGGTCTGGCGGGGGAAGAGGGAATATCATCGTTGCCACGGCGCCACCGGTCAGCACTGAAAGGCGAGCTTCTCACATCACGAGGAGAGCCATCCACGCGCGGTTGCTGTTGCTGCTGCTGCTGTTGCTGCTGCTGGGACCGCTCGCTGGCAGACTTCACAACACCCGGCTTGATCTTGACTGGACGGCCAAGCATGTCCCGGCCATCCAACTCAACCATGGCCCGCTCGGCCAGTTCCTTCGTCTCCAGATCGACAAAGCAGTATGAGGGGTTGCGGCCCGTGAAGGGGTCAATGGCGATATCGATACGCTCGCTAGGAAACACTCAGTTTAGGGGCTCATCAACAGACAAGAGTCGTTTCGCATACATTTGGAACTCGGCAGCGGTAAAGAGTGCTTGCACATCCTCCGACTTGGCCGTGTAGGGCATGTTACCCACGTAGAGACGGCGGCCCTCAGAGATAGCCTGCGGCACGTGTGCGCTGGGTCTGCTGAAAGCGATTCTCGAAGTGCTGGTCTTGGGGCCCGGGGAACCGGCGCTCTGCGCACTCGGGCTCTCCTCGCCCTTCAGGCGCCAGTTGGGAGAATGAAAAGCACGGCCGGTGGTCCTGACTCCATTCTGGTAGAAGTTCTTCTGGGGGGCTAGGCACTTGTTAGTGACGAGTGCTTCAAGAAGTTGTGCTGATCGCAGCCCCTAGAAGAGCCCGAACGCAAATCGCCTACACACTTTGTTGCTGAGGGACGGGGCTTTCAGGAGCGTCGGCCATTGTGACAGAGATTTTCGGAGACTCGAACAAAGTCAGGATCGGTAGTGACAGGGTATAAGAATCGGTAGCCTATGCGATGAACGACAAATTAGCATGGTATAGTCGCATGACTGCCGTAAATACACGGATTTCCTAAATTGACAAGAGACGATCAGGGCAGATTGGAAGAAAATCATACCTCTGTTTCCGGCTAATACTCCACGCGGTTGAAATGAATGTCGAACAGAAGGACTAAACACTTCAGATCTCCGATCTTCTCAGACAGATCAAAATCTCCGAGGAACAAAAGGCAAGCGACGGAAAAACAACACAGAAACGCTCTGCTGCTGAAGCCTGCGTCAAAAAATTAATCTGGGGCGAGGCCAACCCGGAAGCAAACATCGCAAACACCGCAAAACCACCGCGGCCCGAGAGGTTACACCGCCGGCTGTGATTGGCTGGTTAGCGAACCAAACGCGTATATAAAGACGCGGCGGGCCTCAAATTTTCGTTCCAACTTTCTGTTTCTCTTCTATCTGTTATACGCCTCGCACTGCTCAACAAGATCTGAGTTCATTGGCAGTTGGCTTTGAATGCTTGTTTCGAAGATCCAGCGTGCCCTACAATCTGCGAACAGCTCAGCTATGAGAATCATGTCTTGCTCTGGCTAAGCAGATTTCGCATTGATTTCGTCCATTGCAGATATCCCTAGCATCTTTGCCCTTGCATATGTCACCATTCCTACGTGTTCACTTCAATGATGAAGCAAGATTCACACAGACCTGTTCCGAGTTATTATACATGCGGATCAACAATCGTACCAACTGCTGTCTGACAAAGTGAACACTACCCCTACCCTTGCCTGTTTCTTGTCTCCGTTCCTCGATATTAGAAGAATGAAATCGCGCACTTGGCTCACTTGAGATCAATCTTTTCTTGGCCCTTAGTAGTGACAAAAAAGTATGAAGTAGGGTTAGCTAGAGGGCTCCCTGTCCTGTATACAAGACCCTGCTACTCCTGCCAGTACACATCATGGATGCGGGAATCGAACTGCACGACAGCTGGTGTCAAGCATGATCGTACCCCGTATCGGTCACCGCGTCGTCATCCTCTCTCTCGTACAAGATCTGAGGACGAACGTTCTGACGGAGGATGTATCTCCTGATGAAGTAGGGGATCTGACGCAGCCCATACTTGGCGTGGAAGCGTGTGGGAACCCCAAACACTTGATCCAATTCTTCGAGTGTCTTTCCTTTGGTTTCGGGCATGAACAGAAGTATCAGAAACCATCCGACTATACACCAACCGCCGTACCAGCTGAACGCCCCCTGCGGCGTGAATGCATGCCGAAGGGAAGGCCAAGTGATGGCGAGCGTGAAGTTGAACAGCCATGTCGTCGAGGTAGCCAAAGCCATGCCGTAGGACCGCACGTAGAGTGGGTAGGCCTCGGCCGAGTATGTGAACGGCACTGGTCCCTCGCCAAACGAATATACAACACCGAAGAGGTAAGTGCCTAAAGCGACACACCCCATGCGGGCAGAAGTGTCTTCGGGTATCCAGAAGCTGAAGCCGGTGAAGAACATCGACAGAGCCATCATGGGAAAGGTCATTAGGAGAAGATTGCGACGGCCAAACGTGTCGATTTTCCACACGGCGGGTAGGGCAAAGAGGAAATTGATCATTCCCCACCCGAAGGATGCTGCCAGTGCCTTGCGCTGATTTGCGACTGTCAGCATGTTTGCCGGCCCTGTGGACTGCAGGAAAATTTCAGATGAGTAGTATGCGATAACATTCACGCCTAAAAGTTCATCAGTCTTCCGATCTCCAGCTGGGATTGGTCGCACAAACCGCAGAACTATGAGACATTAGCAGCTGAATCTTCATAGTGACTATTTTGTTTGAACGTACCTGCTGCATGAACATCACCAATTCGGACGCAATCATTGCACGTCGGTTACGAGGAACACGAATGAGCTCCAGGATCTTGTTCTGGCCAAGCTTTATGCTGGCCTCGGCTTTCAGCAATGTATGCATATAGTACAAGTCACGCGCTGCTTGGACCTTGTTGTAACGCAAACTACACATCGACTCATACGCTTTATCGTACCGATTTCGCGACAAGTACCAACGAGGGGATTCTGGACAAGTGAAGACAAAGCAGCAAACCAGGAGAGCCGGGAACATGGCTGAAGCCATCATCATACGCCAATTGAGGCCGACGATCCCTGAAGAATCACGGACCTGGAAGAACGCAAGATCTGCGACGTAGCCGAACATGATCCCGAATGCTGTCCACATCTGCCATTGCATTACCAAAGCACCACGGATATTAGGAGGTGCCGTCTCCGCGGCGTAGATCGGCACCGTTGCCGACTTGGGGCCTATCCCGAAGCCCAACGCAAAGCGAGCGATGAACATATGCCACCATGTGTTGACGAACCCTTGCCAGAGGCAAGTAAGCGCAGAGAAGCAGCAGGTGATGAAGATGGTCCCTCGACGGCCGAACCATGCATTGAATGGGACCGTCAGCCAGCAGCCGATGATGGCGCAACACAGATATGGCGCTGAGTTGACCAGTCCAAGCAGCCAATTGGAGCGGGAGTCGGTGCCATCGATGCCGAATTGATGCTTGTAGAAGATCTGGGCGCCATTGACCACTGTCTCATCTGCAGGAGCCAAGGAGTTTCAGCCAAGTTTGACCGGGAACCCTTGAACGATCAATGGAAATAGAACTTACCCATTCCTTGTACCGCAGCAGAGAGTGAACACAGAACAATAACCAGGTACATGGTCCATGGCTGACGCCAACGATGGGCGAATTCTTTCTTCAAGATTTCCAGCTCCTGGGGCGTCAGACCAGGAACCTCCGCGTACTTTTCCGGCCTTTGAGCTAGAATGGCGCCCATGGCGAAAGCACGAATGTCTTCTTCACCCCCAAGATGATGCTCAATGGCGAAATTGATTCCTCGCCTGCGCAACTCTTCTTGAGTTTGACCAGCAAGAGGATTGGCCAGCTTTGCATTGATGTTACGCCGAGCACGCTCCGCAACGGTGCCGAGCGAGCGTTGGAGAGCAGTGTTGCCATCAGTCTCCTGACGGTTGACAGCAGATGCCCCAACGACAGGAGGCTCTTCTTTGCCGAAATAACCCTTCATCTGCGCGTGTTGGTGTCTCGTTTGCGCTGTTGGTGGTGGTGTTTTGACGAGGGGCTAATGAAGGACTGCCAGACGACTAGGAAGAGGTTTATGTTAGTAGGACTGTCAAAACATCAAGTCTATGGCCGAAAGTGAATGACGATCGATCCCTGGTAGTTGAACTCCTACTGGACCAGACTGTTTATTCCACACCATGTGTCCGACAACAAAGAGAAGTAGCCTTCATAAAGAAGTTGAAGTCGAACCGTATGGATGGGAGATCATCTGGCTGAGAGACGAACCGGTCTTGGCAAAAGGAGTTCGGTACATACAAAGAATCCTCTCTTTCCCCCTGGACCATTACCAAAGATTTGGGTGGAAATGAGGAATGGAGCGAACAGGTGAAGGGAGACTCGACTCACTCGGCCTGGTTGACCAGCAGAAGGACCGCACGACTGATCTTCCCAGTCGACATCCCGCGGTGATTGCGACAGCCCTTCGAACGAGGCTGAGACCGGGCGTTCAGTTCAGCTGATCGTGTCGCTCTTCTGCTCCCTCACTGAGTGCTTCCAAGTATCGAAGTTGAAAAGGTCGCTGGGGTGGTTGACGGGATGCGTACAAAGAGGCAGTGAGGTGGAAGTGAGGCTCGTATCCTACCCAATGACCATCAAACAATCTTCTCGCTCAGGAGCCCAAGACCTAGTCTTCGTGGTTGAACCAGATGAATATTAGATGGTCTGTATCTCAGCAAATGCCGATGAATGAAAGTTGGTCCGACATTCTTCAACTGCAGTCTCTGCAGTCTCTGCAGTCTTCTCGAAGTGTCTGAAGCGCGTACAACGTTGCACGATCCTACATCCTCGACTATTTGGTGAATAGCACATGAATACAATGGACCGGGTCCCTTGTTCCGGAGTCAGCCGACAGCTTATACGAGAGTCCATGATAATGATTGACAATGTGCTGATCTGCACGACTGTTGACAACGTGTCTTTGGGGAAGGAGGGGGGACGAATGGGGAGACCCCGGATTTCCGTCGCTTATGCTTGGCTTCTGGCTTCTGGCTTCTGGCTTATGGCTGATGTTTGGAGTCTATTGTTTGCGATGCGGGGTTGCCCGCCCCGTCGGAAGCGGATTGACAGGAGTGGAGTGCTGACTAGACTACTAGGTACATAGTGTAGATATACAAGCATATATAGCATCCCCAATGACAACATCGTCCTGATCCGATATATCCGAACGATCGGAAAGGTTCCTGCATGATACTCGACTCTTTTACCTGGTCTTCCATCCGAAAAGGTAGACGTGGGTCTATTCGATGACTATTCGATATTATGCTGAGTCGGCAAGGGGCAATGAGGGGAAGGAACCTAGCCGCTTCCGACCCGCCTCTATCATCCATGAAGTCAAAGAGACTCTTCCAAGTTCGACTTTCCCCGCCCGCATCGCCGAAACTATAACTATAACCATGATCTGTTGACCCAACATGCTCTTCTGCTTGATCTGGTTTCTCAATCAAAACTTCTATCACACTTCTCTCGATTGAAACGCTGAACAAAGCACCAACCATGCTCGGAAAGATAGCCCTCGAGGAAGCCTTTGCGCTCCCACGCTTCGAAGAGAAGACCCGCTGGTGGGCCAGTCTATTCTCCACCGACCCCGAAACCCATGTCAAGGAGATCACCGACATCAACAAGATCCGCATTGAACATGCGGACAAGCACGGCGTGGGATACCAGATCCTCTCTTACACGGCTCCAGGTGTCCAGGACATTTGGGATGCCGCCGAGGCGCAAGCTCTCGCCGTTGAAATCAACGACTACATCGCCGAGCAGATCCGTGACCGTCCCGATAGGTTCGGTGCATTCGCGTAAGAACCCCCTCCTCCACTACCTCGGAACATCATCTTAAGTTAGCCTAACACAACACTCAGAACTCTCTCCATGCATGACCCCGAAGAAGCCGCCACCGAGCTCCGCCGCTGCGTCGAGAAGTACGGCTTTAAGGGTGCCTTGGTGAATGACACCCAACGCGCCGGTCCGGATGGCGACGATATGATCTTCTACGACCAGCCCAGCTGGGACATCTTCTGGCAGACATGCACGGAGCTCGACGTGCCTCTGTACCTGCACCCGCGCAACCCCACGGGGACCATCTACGAGAAACTCTGGGCAGACCGCAAGTGGCTCGTGGGGCCCCCGCTCAGCTTTGCGCACGGCGTCAGTCTTCACGTTCTGGGAATGGTCACCAACGGAGTCTTCGACCGGCACCCGGCACTACAGATCATCATGGGGCACCTGGGCGAGCACGTCCCCTTCGACATGTGGCGCATCAACCACTGGTTTGAGGACCGGAAGAAGCTGCTGGGCCTGGCGGAGACGTGCAAGAAGACGATCCGCGAGTACTTTGCGCAGAACATTTGGATCACCACCTCGGGCCACTTCTCGACCACGACGTTGAACTTCTGTATGGCGGAGGTGGGTTCGGATCGCATCCTGTTTTCGATCGATTATCCGTTCGAGACGTTCGAGGATGCGTGTGTGTGGTTTGATAATGCAGAGTTGAATCTGGTGGACCGGGCGAAGATCGGACGGGAGAATGCGAAGAAGCTGTTCAAGCTGGGGGCTTATAAGGACTCGTCGGCGTGATGTAGCAATATATTCAATCAGGGCCAACTTCTCTCCTGCTCTAACCTTAGATGAACGTAGGTCATGGTCATGAGTGTTCTTTGCCTTAGTAAAGACTATTCTACTGTTGACTGTACTAGACTGCGTGCCTTACTGGTGTTTTCTAGTAGCTTGTTATTCTTTCTTACTTCTTGACTATTTCGTCCCTGAAGTTGATGATGGCATTCCAAAAGAATATAGTGACTACTTTCTCCCCAGACCAGATAAGAAGTTGATTCTTTAGAGCCTTGTCGATCATTCATGAATAGTTCAGCCATTCCATATGCTGTGAAAACCTGTGAATGGGGAATAGTCAGACTGGTGAATGGCCTGCACGCTCCAAGGTCGACCTAGTCGATGGGGCGACAGTGTGTGTTTCAGTATTGTGTATACAAACACCCTTGTGTGTTAATATTGCTGTTTGTGCCAGCGCCAGCCTTCTCTACTACTGTGAATACCACGCACGATACTCTGTGACTCTTCCACCTCTCTTCTTCCACCTTAATATCCTCTCCCTTCACTTGAAGAAAAGGGAACTGAATCGATATCTGTTCCCTATATCTCTTCTCTCCCCGTCCTCTTCCTCAACCACACTACCATCACCGATCTCAGCAGAGTGAGTCTAAATCCTACCTCAACTTGACAACCGTCACCTCGAACCAGAAAGATGGACCTCAACGTCCCAGCCCAGCTCTCTCACAGCCTCCCTCCCTTCTCCCCCATCCTCCCCAGCATCGAGCAGGACGAACAACCCACCACCACCGAGCCATTCCCCGACTACTTCGCCTCCTGCGAACAAGCCGACTCGCGAGCCGACACGGCCCAGGAGGAAGCCTACAAGTACGCGCTGTCGAAAGTGGTGGAGGCCGGCGCGCAGGCCAAGAGACTCGACGCGATGCTCATGTCCACGATGCTGTTCACCCCGGAATGGACATTGCCTGACCCGACCACAGCCTTCAGCAACACACCTCCAACAAGCACCAGCAGCAGCAGCAACAACAGACTCACCCCACCCACCACGCCCACCAACCCATCACTCACCGAAACCACCCCCAAGCTAGCAAGCTACCCAGCCTGGGCCCTGCACCCAGACCTCGAAGCCACCACGGAGAACAAGAAAAACATCCTCGAAGAGATGCGCATCCTAACCAACAGCCCGAGCCTCAGCCTCGCGCTGCGCACCCGCTTCATCACGATCTGCAACACCATCCTGAGCGTGCACACGCTGCTCTTCCGGCGCGTGCCCATCCCCGGCCGCCACCACCCGCTGGACTCGTTGACGCAGCCCCAGCTCCACCGCGCGCACCACCTCGCCAACACGCTGGTCACCGACCTCGCCGCCCTGCACCACCTATTGTATGGCCAGTACGAGCACTGCCGCAGCGCGCAGCAGACGATCGCGCATATCGCCGCCGACACGGCCAACAAGAACCCGTTCACGCGCTTCAAGGAGATGGCGAGTATTCTGATCAAGTATGTGCCGTGCCCTTACCCCCATCTCTCAACCAAACCCCAACCCCCAGCCCTCACCCCCCCCCCCAAGCCTGAAGCTAACAAGAAAAGCACCCTCCCTACCCCCCACCCAACCGAACAACGCCTCCTCCTCATCACCCTCGACCTGTACGACGCCTACCTCTACACAGACTACCACCGCCTCCGCCAGTGGCCGCAGATGCTGGCCGAGGGCCGCGACCCGCTGCGCCTGCGCCTGACCAACGCCTTCTTCCGGGCCTGGGATCTGCTGACCCGCGCCCTCGAGTGCTACCAGGCCGTCGCGGCGATCCACGCCCGCATCACCGCCCACTACCTGCGGCCCGCCGGCGCGCTGCTCGGCCGCGAGGTCGGGGCCCGCGTGCTCTTCGATCTCAGGGTGCGGGCCGCCGTGGCGCGGCGTCGCGAGCGCATGGTGCGGAATGATCGGGTTTATCAGCAGGATTTGTGGGAGGTGTATCGGCGGGAGGTGGCGGAAGAGGGTGGGAAGGTCTCCACGGAGAGTGGGTGGGAACAGGGGAGGGATGATTGTTTGGATCGCGGGGGTGGGTGTGTTTTGCAGGACTTGTTTCGGTGGGATGAGGGGGG